CAAGATCTTTTGAACCTAGGCACAGTTGGGGGAACAAGATGGTGCCACGTGGATGAGCTGCTGTGTTGAACTTGCCATTTGACCTTAAGTTGGGTACAGTACCAGCATAGGTAGAGTCCAAGACTTAATCATAAACAATGCATTGTGTCTTATGCAGATGTTATTGTTCAACATGTGGATGTTCATTGATCTGCATTGCTCCTCCATCACAAGGACTATACACTTAGCTCATTTGAACTTTCACAACAAGGTTGTCTTTGTCATTTCAGATCTGTCAATTTTAATTCCTGACCAAATTTGTAGGAACAAAAACACATGTTATATTCAGAATCTTCATCTCTACTGCAGTACAAAGGTTGCAATACTTTGAATTTTAGCAACTTTGAATTAATTAAAATATGCACACAAACTCTGTGTATGTGTTTTGTGTCTGTCTTTAAGATAAAAATAATAGATAAGTCAGTGGCTGATCTCTTGGATTATATAGTTGCATGTGCTCAACAGGGCAGGACCCTATCATGGTGCTACAGAGTGACCCCCATCCAATTGCTAGTACTGAAGTCAAGTTACCTGCCCATCTAATCTGTCTATGGAATGGAAAGGGGCACTACCTTGTCCTTTGACTTGGGTAGCAAAATGTCTTGTCCCAATCCTGGGTACTGGAGAAGGTCCAAGACAACGTGAAGGACTCACCCAGTGTTGGGCTTCTTCGGAATGGAGCAGTTCTCCGTATCTTCCAGTGATAGCACCTGAAATCAGTGCCCCACTGGCAAGGGCAACCAACATTCGTGTGCCCTGCTTGGGGCAAATTGTCTCCAATATCTCCTTGATGTAACAACACATTTTTTACCATTCTTAAAACCATATAAATGCTGGAGTTTCTTGGTTGTTACAGCTCCTTTGCTGCTGTTCCACTCACTCAGCATAGAAACATAGCCAGTCAAAAGGGGTCTCTCAGGCCATCTAGTCTGACCCCTCACTCCAGCAGGCTGCACTCATGTAATACCCAGCGTGTGCTTGTCCAGTCTTTCCTTGAACACCCTCACTGATGGGGACCCTGCCACCTTTCATGGAAGCCCATTCCATATTCTAGGGGTCCTAACTATCAGGAAGTACTTCTTGACATCCAACCTGAAACCTTGAGTTTTGCCCCATTGGACCATGTCCTTTCCTCTACTCCAGGGGGGAACAGGTCACGACCCTCTACTGTCTGACACCACTTCACATTCAACATGATGAGTGTCCAGTTGCAAAATACTGAGCTCCAGCATTTCAACTCCACCTTGGAACTGGGCCAGAGGCTGATGGGGAGGCAACCCCACAGTGTGCCTCACAGCATCATAGCTGCTGCTCTCACCTTGGAAATGCAGCTTGTCAGACCTCAACCTCCTCTTAGACTTGAAACTGAAGAAGAAGTAGGAATCATTCCAAGAGCAGCACAATATTCTCTCGGCACCCCCATTCCAAGCTTGAAAGGAGGATTGGAGCTTGGGTGTAGTGTATTCTGTTAGCAAGCCCTGCACCCCCAAAGCACCTTAGTGTCATATTGTGCCTGCTCAGATGGTCCACCACTGGATTCCAAGCTTGGGAGGATAGTTAGCATGATGCTTTGCTCCACTGATCTTGTGAGGCTGAACAGAAACAAATGCTCATCTTACAGACCGAAAGCTGGGAAGGAGCAGAGGATTCTTCTTCATGTGGTACCAAGTTTCACAGCGTGAATTGCTGTATTAGGGGCCACGTAAAAGTTGGGGGTTTACAAGGCCTATTGTTTTATTTAGGGTTGTAGCCCTGTTTTTAGGTTTTGAGAATTCTGTAATTGTAAATCTAATTGTAATTAGATGTGTATAATATTCATCTTAGATGTTATGTTTGAAACTGGCTCTGCACGTACAGAATCTCAACAGAAGACTTGAGACAATCCAATTTCATACATGAACCTCAAGGAAAAGCAAGAGTCAATTCTTATTTTGAAAAAAGAAAGCCCTTTATGAAAACCTAGTTTTTACATTTCTTTCTGAGGCAAATTATTCCTGGGAACTTCTAAACAAGAATTTGTGGGATCAGAGGAGGTATTTCATGCCATGGAGACACCATGTTCATTTCTTTCTTGGGAAAGGCCAGTGGTATGTAGGGAGCCTACGGCATAATGACTCTAGGACATTGGGTGTTTCTTTTTGCCATTTAAAATACTGTGTCTCTGTCAAGAGGAAATATTACACTAGAGTTTAAACCAGTAAAGGTTAAAGGTTATTTGTTTTCAGTGAGCTGTAACTGATGGTCTGATCTGCTTAGTGGTAGGATTAAGCTCCCCTCTCTCTCCAAAGAATCTTGCGGAGAATTGTTTGCTTGGGTTTTTAATCTTATTTTACCCACCCCCCTGCTCCGCACCACCCCAAATGCTGTGTGGTAGAGAAGGTTCTTGTGGCAGTGGAATCAGTGAAAAGCTGGTAGATCACACAAGAAGCCTCTGAATGAAGGCAGAATTGAAACAGGAAAATAAAGAAAACAGCAGGCAGGTCACCATCTCAGGAAAACAACATTCATTCTCAGTCATGCACATCCTAACACTTTTGACGGCAATTTATCATGGAAGACTGGGTTCACTGCAAGGGCTAGCCCATGTCATAGGTTAAATCAGAGAAGTCAATCCCAAAAGGAAACTTCAAAGTTCTTAATGCACAGAGTTAAACATGTTGAGAAGAGCTTTTACGATGTTTGTTAGAAAGATGGGAGTAAACAGTGAGTCGGAGGAATTTTGTCAAACTGCAGTGGGATTGTTTGTTTTGCCTGTTTAAGGCAGCTGTTGTTGCAATGGAGAGATGCAATGGAGACTTGACACGGAGAGAGATGTCACCCTGATAGACCAGAATACATGTGTTGGTGATCTCCAGGTCTTGTTCTGCTTTTAATTCCTAGCTACCCTGTCTGTTTCACAAGCAGTATCATCATGGTTGTCTGCCACAAAAACAGGGTAGAGACCTATGGCACCAAATATTCACAGTGCATTAGCCTTAGGATGCTAGGCCCTTCTTTTTGTTTATTGCTTAGTCTTCAAGGATTGTTAACAGCCCTAAAATTTGCTACTTTTTCAGAAAAAGGCTACAGTTAGGCTAGCTGTATGAATGCCACCTACATTTTGGAGTGTTGCTTGGCTCCATCTTCTTTGGACTTCATTGTCCCTGTGCCCCTTCATGCTTTCCTGCAATGAGAAACAAATTGTTTGAACTGCTTTGTAATAGGTAGAGATGAAAGAGAAACACTTGCCATTTATGATATTTAACTGCTAGCATTCTAAAACCTGTGTATTTTCAGCCTCTGTTGTATGCATGAAATGGTCTATATGATAGCCGTTGAATTAGAAAGTAAAGAAAGTGCTTGCAAAAATCTTTGTTTTCATGTTAAGTATTTTATTAGGGCTACTTCCATCTCCTTTAGATTTCATCTGCAGCAAGCCATTTAGAACTTTTGAGGAAGATGCAGACTGGGATTTCATGTCTGGGTCCTTGGTTACAATGACTTTCTTATTGCCTGGCACTTAGGCACAGTAGTAGGCTCAGGCGAAAGTTAGATCTTGATATATTGATAGATCACTGGAAGGAGATGCACAAGACACCGTTCAGCAAGAGCAGCAATGGGTTTTTTCTCCACCTTCTGTCACGTATCTCTAATCTGTACTATGTGTAGATCTGTAACTATACATGGAAGCCACCCCTGAGTGTAAGTCGTAGGATGCTATAACACAAGTGACTTGCACCTTCTGAGCCACCATTTTGGATCTGTTTCCATCCATCTCTCAGTCACTATTTTGTACCCGTAGATCAAGGAAGCCTTAAGTCTGCCCACACATGCTGTGCCATGCTCTGACTTGCATAGTTCCCCATTCATTTGGAGACAGACCAGTTGCAAATGTGCAAGGGAAATGCCCCATCAGTTGAGGTGACTAGAGGAACCCTTTCAAGTACAGGAGGAGCGTAAAGAGGGGTGGATAGGAGACAATGATGCCTCAGAACATTTGCTGGTAATACTGCAACTTGTTGGAGAAAATCTGATGATGTGCAATGTGTTGTTGTCCTTTGTTCTCCTGTCCTCAGGATACAGTCACTCAGAGATAATAGGTTGGATCCTGTCTAATCCATTTTCTTTTACTACTCAAACATTGCACAGAAATACGTGGTCATGAAAGAGGTCAAATTTACTCCTCTCAGCTTGCATGTTGTTATTGTTTATGAATGAATGGTAGCATCCCTGGTTAATAATTCCAATGTTTAAGTGCTATGTGACGCAAAGGAAACGTTACTCACGGAGGCCCACTTACTGCTGGCTTTTCTGCTGACCATGGTAGGAAATGGCTGCCAACAGTTGCTTGTGATGCTCCTTATTTGCAGTACGTGTTTCTCCTTCTGTCTTATCACCGATTGAACAAATGTCCAGAAGTTGTGCATGTTGTACAATCTGTCCATGTGATCAAATGCCCTGCATTTCATCATGTATGTCTGCCTGTATGTGGGTATATTCAGTATTGTTTCCCCATTCTTTGGCTAGAAAGGGCAGTGTGCACAAAAAGAACAGAAACAAAATTAGTATAAAATCATAGAAACCAGTAAGACCCCATACCAAAGGGGGGGGGGGGAGACTTCAGACAATGATTTCAGCACATGGGAAAGTTGATGCAGGGTGCCCAGTCGTGCATATAATTGTGTGCACGTAAACCCTTTTACAGCTCTCCACAAAAATACTGAAGTTGGGAATACGTCTGGGGAGAGTGATCTTGCTTCTGCACCCTCTCCATGAATTCATGTGTATGGTGCATGAATTGGGTCTTTTTGTTGGACAACACAGTGGCAATCACATCGCTGATGGCCACTTGATAAGTAGTAGTTATCAAAGGGTCATTTGAAAAGAAGTTTGCCCTGTACTTCCTCAGGAGATTGCAGTCAGCTGCACCCCCTTCTCTGTATTCCCTAAAATGATGTTCCTCTTCCCTTGAACTTCCTCAGGATTGTTTACGAGCCTGCCAAGAACAGATTGAATCCCTCCTTGAATCTAGTCTACGCCAGGCACAACAACACAACATATCTTCAGAAACAAAGACTGTTGAAGATGAAGCTGATCTTTCCTGCACACCCACCGATGTTAGAGATGTGAATATTTAAGGAGAACTTCAGCGACTGGTTTTGCTTGGCGCAAGTTCCAGCAAACGACGAAAGGGCATCTGAGAAGGAATTGGAATCAGGATCTTCTCCCCACAAGAAACCTTTTCTCCAGGACTTTTTATACCAGAAGGGAAAATGTCATTCATTCTTTTCTTCGCTATTCCTTCCTTCCCTTTGTGACTTTTTAACAGACAACCCACCCCCGGTCCCCCACCCCCAACTGTCTTAAAAAGAAAAAATAGTATTTGCATGATCTCCAGGGGTTCGCGCTACGAAAATAGAAGATTTTATACAATAATAATCAACTAGATTTTTTATATATTAAAGTGTTTTTGTCTGTATGTTGTAAGAATAGGCATTAACACACACACACACACACACACACACACACACACACACACACACTGTCTCCAGGGGAGGTATTAGATTTGATTCTTGCATATTAAAAGCCAACCATTTTTAAAGTAGAAGAGGGTGTTTGTTTGTTTTTAGATAGATTTATATGTGTTTTGGGTGTGTGTTGTTGTTGCTTTCCTTTAAAAAGCATAGCTTTAATGCAGTTCTAGGCTTTTCTGTATCTTGCTTGCTTATGCATTTAGTCACTTTATAAGTCATCTGTAAATGTTTATTTTATCCCCTTAGGTTTTTATCCTCTTCACCTTATAAATGGTTAATGTAACCTTTACGTTAGTATATGTTAGCATACAGCATTATTATATGTAATCTTCTGTGCCTGTGGATTTCCTGTACATAAGGGCTTCTAGGTTCCAGTGTAGCACGGCCAGGGAAAGGCCCAACATACAGTTCCACCGATAAAGAGAAATTGCAATAGTGACATAATATATTTTTGTAACCTTCCTATTTTTGTAGTTACCTGTGTATACAAAAAAGCTAGTTTTTACCTAAAAGATACACAGCCTAATTATGTCCAGGTTGAATCCACAGCTTATCTTTTTTTAATTGTTTTAAAACCATTCCATTTCAAAGCACTTTCAGTTCATTAGGTATAGGAAATACTTCCTTTTTTGTGTGTGGGAATTTTTTTTCTTCAAATGGAATGGTTGGAAATTATATATATAAATATATAAATCTATATAGAAAGTGCTTGTGTGCAAACTTGGAATTGCAAGGCAAGTGCATTTAACTATGGTGTTGAGGAAAGGTGTGGGGTTTTTTTTTCTGAAGGTTGTGTTCCAGTCAGAGAAAATGCATTCACAAATTTGCCAGGATATCTTCCGAACCTTTTCAATTGAAAAGATGTTTAGAAATCTTTTGGTGCCAATTCATTTTTAATATAAATTTAGGGGCCTGAAAGGTTTACCTATAGGACACACATTTTGAGAATTGTCTCTAGATATTGTACAACTGAAGGCTTTTAAACACTAAAATATATAATTTATAGTTAAGGCTAAAAAGAATATTTATTGCAGAGGATGTTCAGAAGGCCAGTATAATTTGTAAAATAAATCACCCCCTTCGATTCTGAGAAAACAAGAAAGATCTTTCTGCCCGTGATGTTGCAGTCTTACTAAGAAATGAGGACATTTCAATACAGTACGATATTTGGCCCAGATATTTTCAAAATACCATTAACCATAAGGAAGCACCATAGTTAAAAAGTGTAGAATTGGTGTACTTGAAAAGAAAAAAAGTTCTTAATCCAGTGTATTTCCCCCCACCTTTAAAAAAAATTTAGCTACAAATAGAAAATTTGCACATCTTGGCTATGTATCTTTTTATTATTATTGTAGAAAGTAGCTGAAGGGACGTGGACATAGCTGTTGAAGTTGATGCTTGAGGAGAATGTGATGGCAAAATGTATGTGAGAAACTGCCGCTAAGGTGTTGATTGTAAAACAAACAAAAACAAAAAAACAAAAAAAAGTTTTAAAAAGGAAAAAAAAAGGAGCGGATGCTCCCATTTTTTTATTGAGCTGCTATGGATAAGTTCCCAGCATGAAATGAAAAAAAATTAACATTGCTTTTCTGTATCTTTGTCATTGTGTTTTGCTGCTATTTTGTGGTCATTTTTTGTTTATACAATGTCATATACTGCCATGTTATAGGTTTTAAATTTTCTCATAGAAAATTATATTATTGACAACAGTTTTTTTTTGGTAGATTTTTTTATGTGATCAATTTTACTTAATGTGATTACTGCTCTATTCCAAAAAGGTTCCTGTTTCACAATACCTCATACTTCAGTTAACCGTGTCTAGATCAGGTTTTAATGTTCGTTCACAATGCCTCATAGTTCTACTGCAAGCTGAAATGCATTGAACATTATTCTGAATGGGTCTCGCGATGTGCAAATAGTTTGTGCTCCTTTTAAAACAGCAGTCATTGCAGAAGATGGAGTGATGTCAGGTTCTTTTGTTATGTGTTTTTATAAAGTGGATTTCTTTTTCTGATCTGGGGTTTATTATCATAGTAGTTTTAAGCTGTGTTATTAGCCACATTTGATATATGAAAGGTGCGTTATAATATAACTCTTATATGCCCTTTGATGTTTTCCATCAATGGGGAATCATCATGCGGTATGATAGGTTATCTTCTGGAATTTTAAGTATTTGTGTGTTTAATCTGTTATGATATATTAGGGTTTTTGTTGATGATGTTAATTATAGCATAATGCTAATTTAAAAAACAAAAAACACAACCTGTAAATCTCATACATCAGCCAGCTAACAGAGTTGTATGGTGAAGAATAATCTAGTTGCCTGTATGCTGCTAAACCAAAACAGAATTAGAAAACTTCATTTTGAGGGCAAATGCAGTTAAGATCCTACCTAAGCTTATTCAAATGGAAAAGACAACCACCTCGTAATGCTACTAGCAGTCGCATGACCCAGGAGGACCGGATACATTCTGTCCAGATTTCAGGAACATTTCTTACTGCTTACCTCATAGACACTTCTGTTTGTGGCATCTCTGTGTCTCTGAACCAAACAAGATTATTGAGTTAGTGGTTGTTGGTTATATTATGTACTTCACTGAGCAGCGGCAGTGTGAATTTTAAAAGGCCAAATGCTGATAAGCGGGTTCACGTGCCAACAGAGATGCTTTATTGTCACATTGTTATAACGATCTGTAGAAAGCAAAGCAATTCAGATTTGTACACACACGTATGTATGTATGTATGTAATATACATATATATATAGTACTTATTGACATCACTGGTCTGAAATGCACATTGTCACCAACAGACCTGTAACGGATAAATTTCCATCAAATGAAAATGAAAAAAAATGACCTCCCCTAAAAGTCTAGAAATAAATTTGTCAAACCCAATGCTTGCATTCTGTGTTGTTTTTGTTCATACTTAAAGAGTTGATGAACCATCAATTTGCCAACTGATACCCTTTATTTCTAGGAGGATTCAGGAATAAGTATAATTGAGTTATTGTCTTTGTTTCATAAAGACAAAAATACTTTTGGCATTGAGTAAGAGTCACAAATGAAACTCACACTTGCCAAAATCAAGAAAAATCCAAAAACAGGAATACAGCCGTTCTCCAAGTCCACTAATACAAAGGAGAACGTCACAGGCCATAAGTTGCCTTTCATCACAATTGGGAACACAGGAGAGGTGCCTTGGAGGGGTTTACACAACACAACAAGCCACATTCAAGGTTGTGTATGAGTTAATCCTCAACTCATTGGTTGCTGAAATGTGAGTTGAACCAAGCTGTGCTAATAAAGCAAGGGTTGTTCAATGACCCATAATTCACAACTGACAAACTATGGGTTGCTTAGAACCATGTGGCTAAGTTTATACAATGCAACCGTATTTTTACAACAACCAATGATTTAAGGAGAACTATTAGTGTTGCTTGTTATATGAACCCAGCTTTACAAGTCAGATTACTTTCTACCTAGGCAACAATTGTAGACACCAGGATTTCAAAGAGGAGTGGTTCTAGCCCTCTGAAGTTATCAGGGACTGAACCTGGCAACTGCACGCAAAGCATGTTCTACTAAATTACATCCCATTTCATGCAACGGACATGATCAGCTGATTGGTCTACCACCTTCCACAGTGTAGCAAAGAACATGAGCATGGGAATATAAAGGTCTTGAATGATAATATAAGGGTATCTGGAAAGAAATGGTCACACCTGAACTGCATGCACTTTCAGTTTTTGTTACTGCATGTTGTTCTCCAACACTAGGAGCAAACAGGAGTCAAGGTTGTGAGGTGACAGGGTCAGTCTTGTGTACTGGGGGCACTTCTCAAGTTACAGCTTTCATCTGTTCTTAAGACATTCTTTTGTCTGACTTCAAAAATTACAGCATATCTTGATATGTTAACCCAATGCGATTTCCATATTTGGGTGGGGTGCTTGGGCAAGATACCTCTGGCAGGGGGTTCTTGGTATGTCCATATTGTTTCCCCAAGTAAAAGCTCAACCCACCCTGCTGCTGCCGGGGCACTTTCATTTGGGCCCAACCTACTCTACCATTGAGAGGAGGAGCAGAAGGCACGTGGAGTAGACTTCTTGTCTCTTCACACATGGTACTGTTCAATGCACAAAGACAGGTCAGCAAGCAGTGACAGCAAGAAAGGAATCCAGAACATGTGGCAAAAGGAACTTCAGCAGGTCCCCACCAGTACCAGCTTCTGATAATATCCTCCAGCCCTTCCTGTCTTGGTGCAGTCCCATGCAAGGATTCTCCACCTGGGAGGTTGCAAGCAAACCTTGGAACCATCTAGAGCTCTAGCCAGGGAGCTGGTACTACTGCCCTTTCCTCTTAGTAAGCTGTCAAGCTACTACATTAGTCTAAAGAGGAGGGGAAAGCAGCTTCTCCCTTCTGACCACCTTGAGAACAGCATGGATATATTTCTGTTTTTCCACAATACCTTACTGGATGTTAGGATCTGAGCCCCCCAGGGCACCTGTGGCCAGGACCAGAATCCCCATCTTAGTATTTTTCAAGATTAGTCCCAGGCCCTGCTGAAGCTCTCAGCTTCTTGACCATCACCAGTCTGAAGCTCTGGACTATATAAGAGTAAGCTCTTCCCTCAGCAGCACAGGTCTTCCTGTTTGCTGTAGTGCCTCCGTCTTGCCTGTGTCTTGCCCATCTTGCTGTATGCATCCTGCCTCGCTGTCCCACTCCACGTCTTTCTGATAGCTGTGGTTCAGCTTCTGCACCTTGCCTGACCCTTGCTGCATCTGTTTGCTGCTATGTCCAGCCATGCAGTATCCTGTTTTGCTGTGCTGTCTCAGCAATGCATGGCTTCCTGCAAGCTGGGGCCTAGTTCAGCTCCTGTGTCTTGCCCAATCGTTTCCATCCTGCTGTGCTGCATCCTGCTTTGCTATGTTGCCTTAGCAATGGAGGTCATCCTGCTAACTCTGGTTCAGCTCCTGTATCTTGCCTGACGTATGCAGTGTATCTTGCCTTGCCTTGCCATATCGGCATGCTGACCCTTGCTATATCCTACCATGCCTTGCCTCAGCCTGTCTCACTGCCTTGCTACTTAGCCTTCCTTGCCCACTTTTGCTGCTCCTGAACTCTGGCTCTCATCCTGCACCTGCTTGTCTTCCTGGTTCTCGACCCTCGGTTTGTTCATGACTGCTTCCTCGTCTTGTACTGATATGTATTCCTGGTTCCTGATCTTGGCCTGTTCTATGATTACAACTTGAGCCTTGCTATTGGACTGTGTTTGGATTCTGCCTGGTTTCAGGTTCTGTTGCCCTGGTCCCGGTGCCTCTGTCTTGTCTCCTGCCACCCACATCCTAGACTGTGGCACTGGGATAAATTGTTTAGCTTAAGGAACTATTTTCCATTCTATTCACCTGTTGTCATGCACGCATGTTCTGGCAAGATTCCCAGGTGTGCACGAGAAGCCGACCATTTTGGCAGGATTGACAGCTCAGTCTCTGAGAATGAGCTGTATGAAGGGGAGCTGGCCGATCCCAGCAGGATTGACAGCTCGGGCTCTCATAACAAGAGGGTTGCTGAAACGGACACAGCTCCAGCTGCAGTCCAAGGCCCTGGGTACCCGCCTGTGCCTGCTATGGGAGAGATTAATTCAAGGGCAGCTGAGGGGCCCAGTCAACCTGCCCGTGGGAACGAAGAAGAACAACAACATCTGGGGGGGGGGAGGGATTTAGCTATGGGGAGTCTTATCAGATGAAGAACTCCAGCCTCCTGAAGAGGTGGACCCAAAAGTGTCTTCACAGTTGCAGGGTGACCCAGTTGGGATCTCACAGAGAAAAATGCAGGCATGCCCAGTTCCAAAGCGCTTATCCCTCCTGAGACAGGCACAGAAGGATTCATAAGCAAAGCTTTGGGTGAAGGGGGGCAGAGAGGGTTCAACTTTTCACTTTGTGTATGCTCAGAGACTTATATGGACAATAAAGATGCATAGCAAGACGTGCTGGTGAGTCTGTTACTGCAGGGAGGGAGTACTCAGCTCACAACACTCATTTCCCCAGTTCTCTGCTGGCAATTTTCCTTTGGGCAGTTAATTCTTTTAGACTTCACTACGGACCCATGGCAGAAGTACTCTCCTTTAAGAAGTGCCACTGTTCCAGGAACAAGATAGCCACTACTAGATGGCCACAACTAATCCTTCATCTATCTGATGGAGCAATATTGCTCTGAGTCCTGCTCCTGCTACTTTATGTTTCTCAAATCTAGGAATCCATCTCTGAGATTTCAGATTACATTTCCAGAGAAAGCCTTGCTGGTGACAGGGTTGAAGCCACAGCTAGATCTAGCCACAGCATCCTCCATTGTGAATTGCGACATCTCTTCAGTTTCAGTATGCTAATCCCAAGGCAGAAGGAGCTGCACCAAGGGACATGAACTGCGCCACTCTCCCTGCCAAATTTGCTCCACCAGCCACAGAATCAGTACCAGTGCTAGCAGGTCTTAGTGTGACAAGTACATCTGAGCTGAGCATGCTAAGGCTCTTTCCAAGGAGCAAAGGGGCAAGGAACAAGCAAGCACACAGGAGCTGAAATGGATGTAGCAGAAGAATCAGGCATTAGTTTGTATCATTCCTCTGATGGTTGTGGAGAGATCTACCTCTCTGGTCTGTTTTATGGTTTGGATTAGCACAATTCTCAAGAGCAGAGAGCTCAATTTTTCCTTTTGCAGGGAAAAGGTGCCACTGAGTCCTGTGGAAAGAGCAGCGACAGAAGGGGCTCCAATCCAATCTCTACCACCCACAGCATCCTAGCAACACACATGTCACTGCGTGCTTTGCTCCTATTGGCTCAGTTAAGTGCTGTGCCTGTCACCCTGTTTACTTTCTGGAAGAAGGAAAAAAGCAGGTAAGTGCATGGAGGGACAAGAGGGAATCTCAGCAGAAGGGCTCACTTTAATCTAAAAAAACAACAGTGTTGGAGTCTGAATTCACTAGGGAGCATTAAAGAGAGGGATGAACACAGGAGGTGGAAGAGGGACAAACTTAACAGAGAAACAGCTGAGGCAGATACAGAACAATAAAGTACTGAAGGGGATTTTGCTCAAGGAGGGGCTGCTGGCTGCTGGAGAAAGTGGGAGAATGGGGAGGCAGGAAAAGCCAGAACCAGCAAGGGTTTGTGATTGGGTGGGTTTGCATGGGACAACAAGCTGGGGTAGGAGGGAGTTCTTGTACTGGATGGCCTGCTGTGTCATCCAAAGCCTGTCAGGGTATTTCAGCATGGTATGCTCATTTCTTGGAAACCACGATAAGAAGTAAAGGTCTATTCTATGCTTTCACTGTGTTTTTTCTGGTTGTCTGAACCCAGCATTGTGGCCTCAATGGTCCTGACATGGGATTAAATTTCAGGTGCAGTGGCTGCTGGGATACCTGCCAACAGTGGGAGGACTGGGCAAGCAGGGTAGAAGCCATGCTAGTCTAGAAATCACTTAGATCACTATCAGACACATCTAGGCATAACAACAACTGCACAGCATGGAAACCATACAGGGCTGTTTGCCATGATGTGTGAACTCAGTCATTGGAAATTTTATTTATTCATTATAAACGTATTTATTATATTTACAATCTGCCTTTTTTCCTTTCAGAAGACTCAAGGCGGCTTAAATAATTCTCCTCTTCCTCTCAATCTTATCCTCACATTAACAACTCTGTAAGGTCGGTTGGACTGAGTGTCAGGACTGGTCCAAAGTCACCCAGTTCTGCACTCTTAACCACTATGCCACTGCCAGTTAAGTTACTACCAATCATGACAAGTCTACACCCTTGCCTCTTGTGACATGCAAACTCACCCACAACTTTCTTAGTCTATGACAACTTCCACTTCAGTTATCTCCTTAGGTCAAACAAATATTCCACAGTTGTCTCTGTCTGTACTGGGAATAAAGAGAGAATCTGTTCTGCACAGGGTTTAACAGATCTTGAAGACGACTTTAATTCACTGTGGAAGAGATTATGGCATGAGGAAAGCTTCTGCCTTTTTGGAAGAGAAAATGGAATGTGCCAACCCTTTTTCCATGTCTCATATTCCTGATTCTCCAAGCAGCTCTTTCTGTTCAGATCAGCACAACAGCAGTATTTATCATTGGAAGCATAATTCAAGTTTGGAAAATTGTGGTGACCATCTAGGCATTGACTTGATGGAGGGCAGCTTCAATCATGTGGATGATCCTCTGTTCTCCTCTTTGGGATGGGATAGTCATCCTTTCCGAGATAAGCAGCAGCGTGGACATGAGGATATGCCTCAGCCATGAGAGCCCTTCAAAGGCCCTTGTCTCTATGACCATTTTCTAGGCCGCCTCACCACATAAATGAGCCATGTTATTGCCATTACTATAATCCTTATAGATGCCATGACTCTTTTCCTTTGGACTGGGCAGGTCTCAGCCAACAGCCTTTGCTGGAGTTTCTTGCAATATAACCCTACTAGTCATTGTGTTGGTTTCTCTGAGGGATCCAAGCACTTCCAGTTTGGTGGGTAGCCCAGTCCTTTCTAGGGTTTGGGAAAGGGCTGAACTGCTTTTTCAGCTTGCCCTCCAGGGACAGGATGATGTCAGGGGCAAGCCTTCCCCCAAAAGCCCTGCTCCCTTTCCTTCTAACGTTTATTCTCTGTGTAATAAGAGGATGGAGCGATCATTCCTTGCCTTCTTCTGTATGGAGAAATGTCTAGTCTTGTTCAGGAGAATCCACTCTTTTTTATAATGTGGAATCTATCTATTGGAATCTCTAGACTTATCTCCAGTCAGTGACTGGGGATAAGAAAGGGGCTTCCTTTCTTGCACTAGAGAAACTAGCCTTTCTCTAGCATTGGGAGAGGGAGTGGGCCTTGGGAGGGGACAAGCAGGCCACTGGAAACCTCTGTGCAGTGGATAAGGCACATGGGCCAGCGGTCTGAACTAACCCAATACCGTTTCTCTTTTAAAAGAGTAATGTGCTTCTATAGACAGGAGCAATACATCCAATTCCACCATATTTGACCATGAGTGATACCAGAGCAGAGCACATATTGCATCCACTACAGAGAATGCCAAAAGCAGTATTTCCAGGGTGGGATCTCCCCGCTGCCTCTGCGACCCTCCTGCAATAAAGGTTTGCAGAGAGAGCAGGAGAAGGAGGAAGAGCAGGAGGCCATGCCACAGAAGAAGCCATTGGAGATGGTGCAGGATGAGCTGTGCTGGGTGTTTGGCGACTGTTTGCTTGGAGCTGCCTCTGGGCTTTTATCCATTGTTTGAATGAATGTCTCTGAAAATTCCTTGTTGCTGCTTTGGATATGATGAAATCCAGTTGATATTCAGCTCTTGGAATCACAGTTCAATCATTTGTGTTTAGAAGTGATATTTCATACTTGCTTTTGGAAAACAGAAGTGATCTGAAATAGAATGGCATCTCATCATCAGGATTTAACAGTGTCAAAGGAGAGGAAGTTGCATAGTCCTGCATTCCCCCATCTCTCATCCTGCTGCAGAAGGTTCCATTTATTCAGAAACTAAGTTTCCTTATGTATTGTGAAGGATCTTTGCTACTCTGACATCCAGTGGGATATATGCAATGTTGGTCCAACTTAAATTCCTGTTCCAAGTGGGGCTTACCTTAAATGCAACCCATTAGAGTGCAGACAGGGTGTAAAATACAAATCTTTACAAAGCACAAGCAAATAAGGACTTAATAAATACAGGAGAGGTATACAGCTATAACCTGAATTTAACATTTGGAGTGCCTTTGTAAGAACAAGTGATGTGCAAGAACGAAGCAGAAAACATCCCTGTGAAAATGTGGCCTATAGGCTCTGCCAAACTATTATGTGTGACACCTGTTTAATAATAATATGGCACCATGTAGATAAAATTGAACCTTTTATCTTGCAGGTAGAAGATGCATAATGGAAAAACTGTAGTTATTTTTCTCTTAACATCAATCCTCACTGCACTAACCATAGGAAAAAGCAGCCTTCCACTACTTTTAATTTGGGTGGGGAAGCTTCTCTGACAATTATTTACCATGATAAAATTTACCATGATATTTAGCTGCATTTGCTTATAAAAATGGTAAATTAGGCCTTAAAAAAATAAAAAGTGCGTCAGTACCTAAATTTGGAAGGAAAAAAAGCCAGCGGGAGAACAATGTAGGCATGTGTTTTTAAACTACTGTTCGAGCAGTCTGGTCAGGACTGTGTGACACAGTATACAGTGTTTTGTCATCCAAGGAATGTCTTTGATCAAGAGTTTGTGCAAGAAGGGGGGAAAAAAGCCATGAAACCCTAATCCGTTCCCACAGTCCAGTAAACGTGAGCTGGACAAACACTGGACAATAGCAGTAAAGCTTGCTGTTGGAACAATAGCACCAACTAAAAAAATTAAAGAGCTGCTGACTCCCAGTTCCTACATTCAAGAAAGATTCCATGCAATATTGATTAGACCCTGGTTTCTGAGGGGCCCCTGAAGATTAGAAACTTCAATTATACCTTCAGAGTCTTTAAACTTTAAAGACGAGGCAACCTCCTCATCTAGTGTTTGTACAAAATTGGGAATGATCACTTTGGTTGTTGCTCTTCATTCTGCTTTGGAGTATAGACAAATGCCTTCTTGAAAGTTTAAAGAAGGCCCTTGTGGATGCTTTTAATCATTCAAAGCAGTGGGATGATTCCCCATTTTTTACACACACTAGATGACAGGTTGCCTAGGCATCATTCAATCTTTTCCCTATGGATAGTCTCCAAAATAGGCAGGCCCATTCAAAACTGGCACCTCATCGCTGGTATTTTAATCTTCAGTTGCATAATACAAATTTCACCCTTTCCTCATTTTCTGCTATTAAATCATTGAGCCCCATTTGAAACACAACTATTATTATGTTGTGTGCAGTTGAAAATAAGATTTCTGCCTTTTCAAGACAAAAGATCCATGTACATGCTGCTCCCAAAATGCAATCAAACATACTTTATATTTAGGGCACATGAAGTATGATGGAATGTGTTTGGAGAAGTCAAAAGAGAAAGCAAATTTTAAAACAAAAACAACCTGGCTTTATCAGGGTGTCTGATTTTGGAAGCACAGCTCAGGAAGATCTAATTGGCAGCCGGACATATACGGATGTTGAGGGTGGGGCTTACCCCACCCCCAACATTTGCCCTACAGATAGTCTAACCCCTAAACATTTCCACTATTCATCAGCAGTCAAACTCCTGCACACAGATATAGTATTATCTACAACTGAGATTTCTGGCAATGCAATATTGTGAGCTACTTCATGCTTTACTGTGCTTTAAGCACCTCTTCCCATGTGTCACTGTTGTTAGATGCCATCAAGTCATGTCTGACTTATGGAGACCCTATAAATGAATGGCTTCCACAATGTCCAGTCCTTGACAGCCCCGCTCAGCTCAGCTCTGTTGTGGCTTCTTTAATGGAACTGATCCATCCCATCTCTTCTTCTGCCTCTGCATTCAGGTTTCCCGAGTGAATGTCTTCTTCAATGGTCCGGCCTACTTATCTTGTGCCCCAAGTACAACAGCCTCAGTTTCAGCATGTTAGCTTCCAGGGAAAGTTCTGACTTGCTTTGCTATAGGACCCATTTGTTTGTCTTTCTGTCAGTCCAGGGTATTTGAAGGGCTCTCCTCCAGCATCATTTTTCAAACTTAGGCCTTAAATTTATCCATGGAAGCTGTTCTCCAAGTCCCCTTGTTTTGATGGAAGATGACGACCAGAGAGAGGGTTTTCCCCGTGATGTGAAAAATTTCCTTCCCAGTGCATTTAGTTTTTGTATGTGTAGTATATCTTAAGCTGTATTCCCTATTTATTGGTTTTATATTGTTGGCTGATTTAGTAGTTTTTATTTTGTGTTGCATTTTGTATAATACCTGAAAAAATTATTTCTGAGGCCTTTAATAAACACATTCTATTTTAATTAAATAAGCCAATTGCAAGGTGGCTTCCCTGCCACCACCTCAGATACAACAAGCAGACAGCCATGAGCAGGGATCGGCAACCCGCGGCTCCAGAGCCCACACATGGATCTTGAATCCCTCTGCTGAGGCTCCGTTGCTCAAAATATGTGTCACAGCCGCCAATCTGTGACCCGCACCAATTTACTGAGCTTTTTCCCCCAGTAGGCCAACCATGGATAAATCGAAAAGTTTCTGAAGAAAACTGAACGTTTAATGGTATGTGGGTAGATTAATTTGCTTTTACTGCTGACAAACTTATGGGGTTTGCTGTTTAATGCATGCAGCCCTTTAGCACTGACTTTCGACTTTGCAAGAAGCTGTTCTCCTATTCAAAATATATGAAAGTTTATAATGTAAGATTAAAAAAAACAGTTTTTAGTGACTGAACAAGAGCTGCAGCTAAATCATAATGAAGATATAGATCTACTTCCTTGTTTTAAGAAGATTCTTATAAAAATTCCAGCAACATTATTACACTGGGAGAGGGATGTTTGTTCAATATTTCACCAGACTATTATTTATATTTGTTGTACTGCAGAAACTCTACTTACTGTATGAAAGTATCAGTTAGTCCTTTTTTTATTCAGGTTGACAGCTGACTGCACCCTCCAATACACGTGATAAAAGGATGAGGGCACACAGAAGCAGACGGCATTTTTGGTTTGCTGCAGGTGGATAATTTAAGTTTGGCTTTTTATTTCATACATACGAGGAGGGCTCAAATAGACATTGAGTATTTTATTTGAAAGTAACCTTCAACCCAGCATCTTTTTTTTCGGAGTTCAAAATGTTTTTGTTGCATGCAGAAATAAAAATTTGTTTTCTCTGTAGCAGTTCATTGATTTCATAAATGCAACACACTATAGTTTTTTATACATAGCATAAAGGTAAAAAAAAAGATATATGCAGTGTTATCTTCATTTTAGATGTCAAAAGGATTTTGCGGCTCCTGGTGTTTTCTTTTCTGTGGGAAATGGGTCCAAATGGCTCTCTGAGTGTTAAAGGTTGTCAACCCCTGGCCATGCATTACTGTTTGGGTACTCACCATAACTTAATAGGTTGTCATTCATAGGATTTCAGTAAAGAGGAATTTGTGAGATTGCTTTCCCTGATGTGTAGTACTAAGGCAAGGTCAGTGTGTTTGTGTGTTTGAGAAGCTGACACAATAGGGTCTTACTCTTGGCCATCTACTGAGTTTGCACCAGAGGTCTCCAACCAACTTCTTTTAACCTCCAACTGTTGACCAGTTTCCTGTTATTTTGCTCATTTTATTCATCTCCTTCCATCCTTTTTAATATCTTTCACATCTGTTCATCATCCTTCCTAGCCAAATGTCCAAACCATCCAAAACTTTATTCATTAGCATTACATTTGGACTGAAGCAATAATATCGTCTCATTTTCTGCCTTGGCCCACCCAAACACAATACCATAGTTACTACTGCCTGTTTAAGCACTCTTTCTTTCTGGTTGCATAACCTTTCAACACACAACATAATAGGCCATACCATTATTTTATACAGCTTTCAAAATTTAAGCATATGCTTCCTGCCTTATATGTCAGATAATTGCCTCTGCTTAAGGCTATCTTCCTCAGACTTGTTCCATGATTTTGGGCTACATCTCCCAGCATTTCTGATCATCAGACACGCTGGCTGAGTTCAACTGTAAAACATCTGGAAGACACCAGCTTGGAGAGGTCTGCTTTAAGTCATTTCATTTCTCATGTTTCCTAAAAATTATTTGTATTTCATTCTCTCTTATTATCTTTAGCTGTTCCTGTTTTCACATTTCTGCTCTCAAGGCATTATCTGTAACTGACAAACTAGATGGGACATTTATTTGGATAGCTGCATTTAGTCTGTGATGAATGAAGACAACGTAGGGAACATTCACTTAGAATCATCAATTGTAGAGTTGGAAGGAGCCAGAGGGCCAGTAGGTCCAACCCCCTGCTCAGTGCAGGACTTCAAGTTAAACCATCCCTCTGAGGTGGCTGTCCAGTTGCATCTTGAATGCCTGTAGTGTGGAAGAACCCACAAGCGTCCTAGGTCGTTGGTTCCATTCTCTTACTGCTCTGACAATCAGGATATGCATTCTAATATCTAACCAGAATCTGGCTTTCTGTACCTTGAGCCCATTATTCCTTGTCCTGCATGCTGGGATAATTGAGAAGAGATTCCATCTTTCCTCTTTGTGGTAGCCTTTTAAATACTTGAGGAGTGCTATCATATCTCCCCCCAGTCTTCCCTTCTCAAAGCTAAACATGCCCACTTCTTTCAATCTTTCCGCATGGGGCTTTGTTTCCAATCTCTGGATCATCCTTGTTGTCTTCCTCTGAACCATTTCCAGCTTGGCTGCATGTTTCCTAAAACTGGGCACAGTACTCCAGATGAGGCCTAACTAGTGATACTTCTATTAACGCAGCCTAACATAGGATTTGTCCTTTATGCAGCCACATCACATTGTTGATGTTGTGATCTACAACACTTCCAAAATCTTTCTCACTTGCAGTATTGTTGAGCCAAGTCTTCCCCATCTTGTAATAATACATGTAATTTCTTTTCCTGGGTGCAGAACATGGCATTTGACCCTACTGTTTCATTTTGTTGTTTTCAGCCCAGCATACCAACCTATCAAGATTACCTTGAATCTAGTTTCGGTCTTCCAGGGTATTAGCTATCCTATCCAGTTTTATGTCATTTGCAAATTTGATTACCACTCCCTGCACTTCCTCATCCAAATTATAAAAATACTGAGGAGCACTGGGCCCAAGACTGAACCCCGCAATATCCCACTTGGTCTCCCTCAGTTTGAGAAGGTGCAATTGTTGAGCACTCTTAGAGTCCGATTCTCTAGCCAACAGTGGATCCACCTGATAGTTGTTCCATCGAGCCCACTAGATGCTGCTCACATATCCAAAGTTGTATCAAGCAGCACGGCCTGTGCCACCAACACACACACCCATCCAGGCTCCTGCTGTCTGCTCATTTGGCACACACAAGAAGAGGCTTGTGAGATGAAGATTCCTCAGTCTGCCACAATTTCCTCATGCCTGAAGAAGTTCCACCCAAAACTTCCACTTGCCTGGTGAAGCTCCACCCCTATATGTCAGTAGATCCACGGTGCACCTTCTCACATGCACTGAACACATGGACATCTGGGCTGCTGCATTCCCATTATGTGATCTTCGTATTCCTGAGTGAACCTCCCTGACCTGACACCCTCTAATTGTGTTGGATGACAGTTCCCATAATCCCCCAGCCAACATAATCAGAGGATGCTGTGTTATTGCAGTTAGTTAGCAATTGAGGAGGTAGAATATTCCCCATTTCATCTTGATCAATCCCTCAAAGGCTTCCACCCTCCCTAGAAACTCTGATTAAAGCTAATAGGTTTCACTGAACACCTGAAGATAGCGGCTTACAGCAAACCTTCTCTCTTGTTCTCCACTAAAATAAGAGTATGATGTCACTAACTTAATACTCACAGATATCCAGTGGCGTAGTGGAGTCAGCTCTCAGGGCTACAGCACCAACACTTTCTTATTTGCAGGGACATGGACAATATCCCCTCAGAATTCTCTGCTGTCTCTGAGCTTAGCTCTTACAGTTGCTGGCAACAAGACATTGCTCTCCATTAGTATTTTGTGCAAAGTATTTTGGATGGCGAGGACATGAAGGCGCAATTCAAACCATTAGCTTTGTGAAAGACCTGCTTCAGGTGGAGATGGCAACTGCTAGAAGTGATTTGTTGATGTAGATCAACATGCCTACCTATGTGTTTCCTTGGTTTGGGGGTGTGGCTGTGGGTTTTGTCATGCTGACCAGCTACACATCAAAGTTCACCCCTGTACCACTGCTGGTATGTATTCTTTGCCCTATCCCTGACCCATGACTGTAACAGGGCTAAGCACAGGAGCACCGCACACGCACACGCACATACACACTTGAATTGTATTTTTATGTTGTGAACCACCTTATGGGCTCTGCTAAGCTCTGCAGCCCCAAGAAATGAGGGAGAAGGGAGAAGAGAAAGGGGAGCGAAGGGCAGGGGCAAAAAGGAGAGAGGATAGTACTTTGGTCTTGTTCAGCACTGGCATGCAGCTCCCTGAAGACTGGGTATGAGCAAAGGCAGCTCTCAGGTTGAAAAAGGGTGCCCCACTCCTGACAGAAATGGTAATACGTAAATAAATTCATTGCACTTCTTAAAATTTCTCCTTTGAAGAAGGAACAAACAAAATGCATTTATGCAAAAATGCATTGTGTGCAACTATCTGCCTGTTCAATTGCACTTTTACATTGAAGTTGCTGAATCTGTGACCTTGAAAAGTTACTTGAAACACACTCCATTTCATCTTGTACATAGATTTCCATATTTCTACTGATGCATGTTTGGGGAAATTTGGTTTCACTATCTGCAAACTGAATTGAATGTTACCAATGAAAGTAAAGATCATATGGCATGATATGGGTAGTCAACGAACACCCTATCCTAGTGCTATTAACTATCTCCTTTCCTTATAAAACAAAACAAAACAAAACATTCAAGTTTAAATACATTCTGCTCTAACAGTTTTTGTAATAATTTAGAAAGCTAATTCGTAAAATGGATTGTAGATGGAAAACATAAAAGGCAGCAAACACTACCTACGATCAAAGCGCAAGGGCCACTGTTGTCTGTGTCAAACATCAGTGGAAGTTCTTACACAGAAGAGACATTTTCATATAGATTTTAATGGTCTGGGTTGTGTTACTCCTAAGTGCAGAGTCTTTGATATAATTAAATCTTTACCTTAAAAGCTGCCGCCTGGAAAAAGGACATTCCACACTTGGCATGGCGTATATTTAATTTGGGAGCACTGAGAACAATAGGTGTAGACATAAAAGAGTTTATGGATCTTAGGTTTCAGAAAACCTTGCAAATTGAGATTAATCTCATGTCCTCTGTGTAAATCAAATCCCATATAAAGGAATCAACACCTTTTCTAACCTAGTCTGTAATATTTGGGCATGGGTAGATTTGTTGTTATTTTACCTCCCTTCCTCCAAAAGTAGGTTCTATAGAGTTGGACTGAAATGAACACAGCATGCTATTTTAGGGTTAGGGTTTTTTGGTAGAACCATACCAGTTCTTTGTTTCAGAACTAAAGAACCAAACACCAATTGGTTCCCCAAACAGCTGTTGTTCCTTAACAACGAGCAAGCTAACTCTAAAAGCAGAGGTTTGGCGATTGCATGGTGCTTGACTAGTAAAAAAGGAACTTAGAAAGCCCTAGTGTGGCAGTGCCTCTTGAGGGTTTCCAGCAAGTGCTTTTGGAGAGGCCGGGGATCAGATGTGGTCCCCTCTGCATGCAAAGTAGATGCTTTACCACTGATCTATGTGCTCCTCAAAGATCTTCCAAGGCCCAAAGGACTGTTACAGCCAACATTATGTCAACCAACTTCTTGCACAACAGGAGCTCCTTTTCCTCCCCTCCCCAAAATCTGATGGAGGGTGCCCCACCCTTCAAAACAATTTAGTGAGGAGCACCTGGGACTGAGGGAACCCATCTTGCTGGCAGCCAAGCACAGCTGAATGTAAGTCAATGTATGCATTTATTAAATCCTCCTCTACCACTAAAATATTCCGATTTTAAACAGATATCCTTTCTCATCCTCATCCAATAGACCTCATGCAGCAAGGAGTGCTTGAAGGGAGTGGGTGGACTGCCAGGGACTGCACATTAGCTCTTCTGGGCTCCCCCAATTTGGAATTTCAACCTCTTCCTCCTCCTCATGACTATTATTATATATTATACTATTATTATAATAAAATATTATACTATTATAATAAAATATTATACTATTATATATTATACTATTATTATAATATTATACTATATATTATACTATTATTATAATAAAATATTATACTATTATTATATATTATACTATTACTATTATAATATCTGGGCAGTTTATATCAAGGTATAAAAACAGTAAATGCAATAGATGAAACCAATTAACAAGAATTAAAAATTAATTTAAGATAGCATAAAACATTACAATTAAATTAAAAAGACCTGGCCAAGGGTAATGATGCCTGAATAATTATGTCAGAATAATTAAGCTCAGGGAGGTCTTTAAAGACCTCCTCAAGGAGGGCTGTCTTGCCCTGGCAATGCAAAGATGGAAAATTTGGCACCAGGTGGGCCACAGCAGGGAGGTTACTCCAAAGATGGAGGGCCATCACCAAAAAGGCTCTCCCCCTAGTTGCTGCCCTCTGCCCCAATTGTCACCTTCTCTTTTTCCAAGGCAAAACAGAAGATATTTGGCACACAGGCAGAGAAGTCACCATACTCATCCAATTCAGTGTGGTATAGTGGTTAAGAGCATGGGACTGGGACTCAGGCGACCTGGGTTCTAGTCCCCGCTCAGCCATGGAGCCAACTGGGTGACTTTGGGCCAGTCACAGACTCTCAGCCCAACCTACCTCACAGGGTTGTTGTTGTGGGGATAAGATGGCTGAGGAGATGTAAGCTGCCTTGAGCCCTTTGTAGGAAAAAGGCAGGATATAAATCGAAAAAAAAAAAAATTCTTTTTCTTTCAATGTTGTTTTTTAAACCCCAGAAATTGTAATAGTCTTAAGGAACAAGACAAAGATCATGATGCCAAATAGCTATTTGTGAGGAGATGGATCTTAAGATTTTTTTTTAAGATTTTAAGAAATTTTAATAAAATTTTAAGAACGCAAGGCATTGAACTGTACACTTATTCCTGTTTGACACTTCTTCCAATGCACCTAAACATTGTCTAAGTGGTGAACATACATTGAAAGATAAGACTATTCCTTCCCAAAGGCTCACAATCCAACAGAAGTGACACAACAGGAAAAAATGGAATGGAGAAGGGATGAGAAAGGCAAGCACTGAAGGAGCACCTGCTTCTCTGACCAATAGTGATCAGTGACATTTACACAATAGGGATGGGCAGAAAGCAGATCTGTTAGTCTTCACAGCTCATGGTCATGACTGCAGGGGCTTCTGGCTTCAGTGCTAAATTTCTGGAAGTTTGTCTTCTGACTGCCTGTGCTTTAAAAGTGCCAAAAGCAAGTCACAGGACAGAACTAGCCTGTTCCTTTTGACTACACAGAATTCGGATCCAAAACTACTTGAGTGGAAGGCTGCTTACATCACAATGCTTTTCCATCTCCTGCTCCCAGCACCACCAAGAACCCTCTCTGAAGGGTCAGGAGGATATCTATAATGGCATGGATGGAGCAGGGGGAGCTGGACGACCATTTTTGCAAGTCTGGATCCAAGTTTTCAATTGGGGACTAGCAGTGCCACTTCTGAATTTCTTCTCTTCCCTGCCTTTAGTACAGAATTTTTCACCATGTTTCTACAGTTGCTTATTTTACCATTTTTTTCTTTTCAAATGATAAAAATAAATAGATTAGAATAATTATATATATATATATATATATATATATATATGTATGTATGTATTTATTTAGTTTAGGTAATGGATTGGACTGCCAGAGGATTCAATTCTGTATATATTGTACTTTTATTATATTTATATTCCACTTTTTCCTGCAAGGAATCCAAGGCAGCTTACATAATCCTGCTCTCCATTTTATCCTCACAACAGCCCTGTGAGGTAGGTTAGGCTAAAAGTCAGTGACTTACCCAAAGTTACCCAGTGATGTTTTAGTACAAAATAGAGGTTATCCAGAAAGAATAGCTTCAACATCAGTGTGGAGACATGATACAAGGCAATCTGCATATGTCCTCACCTCATGAAGCGGTATGTTCAAGTTGCATTATAAGCATAACAGATAATAGTAATAGTGATAGTTTCGGATGAAGTTTAAGTAATGCTTACAACTGAACAATCCACAATGGATCTTAGGAAACCAGAGAGAATATTCAACACAAAAACAAGTGTAAGGAAGAAGAGACTACTGATAGATTGGCAATAAATTGCACATCAGTGACATTAGAGGCAAACTGGATGTCATTGCATTGTCCCCAATTTTACAATAGAATCAAGATATAAAAACATGGAACTAGAGCCCTTTAAGAAAAGTTGAATTCAGAGTTCTGCATTCCAAAAGAGGTTCAGTAAGCCAAATCTCATTCATTTTAAAGGCAATTGTGTTTTGCCTTTTAACAAATGATGGTGTTTGTGTGTGTATGTGTAAACTTTGGAATTTCCAGTGGAACACAAAAGCCGTCCTATGCCGCTACCTAGTTGATATAATTACTTTTCCCACCAGGGGGCCCTAAACCAGCTGCTTTCTCACTTGGAATTTTTTCTCAATCATCCAAACCATACTTCCCCAGTCTGGTGCCCTCCAGATATCTGGACTGCTTCAAGGGTTCCTAACCATTGGTCATGCTGCTTGGGCTAATGGGAGTTGAAATCCAGAACTTCTGAAAGAAAGCAGATCAGGGAAGGGCAGCTAATTAGAAAGAGTACAATCCTGCCCATCTGGGTGCAGCCCTTGCATGCCGGAGGATCCAACGGGAATCCTGTTTCCCCCGCTCCGGGCACGCACACAGGCAGCACAGCAGGGCAGCCTGGAGGTCACTGTGACCCCTCAGATCCCCATCCACCCTCCTCCTTGATCTAAGACCGTTACTTGATCTCTGGAGTTTCAGGGGAGGGACAGGTCAAAATGAGGGTCATACCCAAATGATGTTGTGCACACAGCAGGAAAACAGAAGCATGCCAGCACCCAAAAATGTATTAACAGAGGAAGTGAGGAAAGTACAGTGAGTGAGGACATACTGGGAACAAAATATGGGAGAAAGGCAGGAGTGGGACTCAGCAGGGTGTGAGAACTTCTAAGGCAAGGAAGAATTCTGGGGTCGGAAAGAGCTTCTCTGTATTGCATGTTTGCTGCTCTCATGTTGCCTTGCAGTTACGGCAGCTAAGAGCAGCATGCAGAGCATGACCAGGGCTGGGAGTCAGTCCTGCCATCTACTTTCTCTTAACTGGATGCCAAAAGAGAGGGCAAGAGGGAGACTGACTCTAAGTCCAATTCATTCCCTCCCCACTCCCGATAAAAGATCCTTTAAACCAAGGCTCTGGAACTTATGTCCATCCATATCCCATCATCCCCTAGTACTGTGCAGGCTAGCTGAGGCTAATGAGAACTTGAGTTCAACAACATCTGGAAGACAATATGTTCCCCAGGCTGGGGTGCAGATTGGCCCTGGAAGGCACCCCTCCCAAAGCTAATTATTCCCATCTCCTGGGAATTTTTTACAGGTTCTGTCTTGTGTTGCTGTATTTCTAAAAGCTTTAATTTCATAAAATGTATTACGACCAAGTCCCCCCATCTCAGTTCTGAAGCTGTGTGAGCTGAATAATCATAACAACAACAATAATCATATAACAGGAAAGCTGTTGACACGAGAAATGTACTGAGTGCCTAGAGGTCAGGCATCTATTGAAAAAAGTTGTCCACAATATACAAATTACATTATGTGCCATTTGAGACTCCACTACATGTATGATACACACAAATATATACATGGATAACATCAATGCTATACAATTTACTGCATTTGTTACACTAATATAGTGAAATATTTCTTGTTGCTTACTTTCAACAGAATGTTAATTCAATTAACTAAATGTCTGCTTTCAAGAATTACCTGAAAACTTACTAGGCATGCTGGGAGTTTGGAATGCCTAAGGGCACAATCCAACGTGGCTGTGTGCTACCCTCTGAAATCAAGCGGATTACAGGCATTCCATGGAGGATGTGAGGAATACCACTGCAGCAACTGCCTCCATTCTCTCCTCATCCTCCAAAACATTTTGACAGCAAATTTCAACCATCTAGACATTTTCCCCCTCTTGTAAGACACTGTCAGGATTCTTTGGATGATGGCAGTGCCTCACTCTTCCCTTCATCCCCAAGAACATTTTGCACACTGTGCCAGCTGCAAATGTGGTCTTCCATCTTCAGAATCCAGCTGGCTGTGCTGGCAGAGGGGGCAGCGCCCTCTGAGGTTAGAAAACATTCCCAAGGCCAGAGTTGGGACTCCAAGGTATCCCATGATGTTGTCAGGAGGCCATAGAATTGTGCCCTAAATCACACTGTCTACCTAATAGAAATGGCCCTGGGAGAGTAATAAATCCTTCTTATGTCGCCCTGTTATGGGCCAATATAAATCCCAACATTCAGCTGATGCAGAACAGTACTTTAATCGAAATCATCATGGAGTCACTGTATTCATAAGCCAGAGGATTGTATCTAATATTAGCCCTACTTAGAGTAGCCCCAGTAAAATTAATAAGCCTTATTAGTCTTTCAATTCCCTTTAGTGGGACTACTCTAAGTAGGACTAACATCCAATGCAATCTAGCACATGCCAACTGAACTAAGAGTAACATAAAATTCAAGTAACGTAAAACTAATTTATTGGCTTTACCCCTTTATCCATGTAAGGTTTCTCTTGGTGAGGATCCTATCAAAGCTTTCTTCTTTTTCATGCTTATTTCAGAATGTAAGAGCAGCTCCCTCAGAACCAAGTCTAGAATCAGATGGAATATGCAATAATGAACACACCTAGAAAGAAAAACAAGAAGTACAAATGATGATTTATATTGCATTTATGCTCTGCATCAACCTCATCTGACCTTTACAATCGCATCGGCATTCCATTTGAACAGCAGACAACGAACAGTTACAGACCTGTTTAAACCGTCCTCTGATGTTCACCAGGTCTTCTTGAAGTTTGTCATAGACTGGATCCTCACGAGGAAATTTCTGAATCATCTCTATTAAAGACTCCAGTACTTTTATCTTTTTCCTGAAAAAATGCACACACAAATACACTGATTTTAGTCACCAATTAAGAGTGTGACCTTCTGAATATTCAGCTCTGAAATACTGGCTTTGGTTCACTCAGCCCCCTTGCAATATAATTTCAGTATCACACCAACATGAGAGAATTCACAAAACTAAGACTACATTCACTAGTTAATCATCCTCATTATCATCACTGCCACCACTTCCATGATTTTGGTGGTGCTTATTGCAGTGCGGGTGCCCTGGACAATTTGGCATTCACAGCAAAAATAAAGGATAACGATGCCTGGACTAGCACTTCCCAAAGGACTGCACCAAAGGAGACATGCCATTCTTAGAGCAGGATGAGATGCAGCCATGATGCATGAGGAGCGTACAGGAACAATCTGTCAGAAAAACCTGCTTTTTCAAACAGCCAAATTTCTATGATTTATTTAGTATCAATAATAGACAAGCGGATTTCTGGAAGTGTTACATTAGTTCATTAATTCATCTTACTGACTGATTAAAAACTGCAAATCAGGTGGACCTCTGAATTCACTTTCAAGGAAGCAGTCCCAGCTCTCCTCAAACATTTGTTTTAGTGGCTTCTCCTCACCTAAGTCTGGTGTCTGTCACTGTCCTCATGGGAAGAGCTCCTCAGAGAGAGAGCAGAATTCAACCTTTCTGTGCTCCTTTTAACTCTCCATTCATCCACTCCTTCCTCAAGTATGCTTCCCACTAGGAAACGGGAAGCCCCTGTAGTGACTAGAACTGAAACATGTGGTTTGGAACATTTTGGAAACTATTGCCAAGAAAGACAACATGGACACAGTTTCCATTTCTTCTCCTAATGCACTGACAGGGATGTGAATTGGGAGAAGGTGCCCATAGGGCTTGCTTTTGCTCTGAAAATGTCTGTATCTGGACAGAAACAGTGGATTTGGTGCTTGTACTTTGGTGCATAACAACACGGCAGTCTTTTGAGTGTTGCTGCACTTCCTGAGCCATTCAACTGAGCTCATCTTTTACGTCCCCGTTTTCATCAAGCAAGCCCTTGCAAGTAGTAAACAGGGAAAGAAATACGTGGGTTTGTCAGAAGCAGACAGAAGACATTTTGGCAGTGCTGTTCTCCTGTGAACTTTTCTGCAAGAGCCAGCAAAGGCACTGTGTGACATTGTGGCCGTTTGGTTGGTCCTAAAAAAGGGGCTGGCCAGCTGGGGATTTCTATTCCCCCCCCCCCCCGTCATGGTCTAGTGCATCTTTGCTTTTTTGTTTGCTTGCTTTGGTTTCATGTAGCTTAAATCATGTGTGCTTTAAAATAAGCAGGATAAATGTCCACTGCTATGATCAATGTCAGAGGACTGCAGTGTTCCCTGCCCCCTGCTCCTCAGAGCACTAGCTAGCAAGAGGAGGCCCTGCAATTGCAACTCACAAGGAAATACCCCTATTTAGCAATCTGGCACTTGAGAGAACAGAGAGGTATCCATCTGCCAGGCAATGAGCCCAGAAATGTTCATCTATGAAAAAGCACCGATATTCTTCCACACATGACCTCACCTCTCAGTGTCTAAAAGTGGATTCCTGCCAAATTAGAATTACCTCTCTATCTGAAGGAGAAATGGAAACAGCCTCTGCATGATATGATATTTACTGGCAGGCTGTTTTCAAGCACTCCGTACATGCTGTAGTAGTTCAGCCAGAATTGCATTATTTGGGCGGGGGGGAGGGGGCCTGGCTTGACTTGAATCCTTTATTTTAATGAGGCAAAACAATATATAGAAACTTCAGAAAACTCCACTTAAAGAGGCTGAATACTATGCCTAAGCATTGCTATATATGCAAAAGACTCGAGCATTCTGCATCACTTCTGAATACCACTATATGTGCAAAGTTGCTGGAACATCACCAAAATCACATAATTTATGATACTGAAAAGGTCCACATCTGCTAATATGACCATGTTTGACCTTTAAATAATACTGCAAGCACATGTTCCCAAGCAGTGTTGTCTGTCTGTCCATCTCAATCTCAATCTCTCTCTCTCTCACACACACACACACGGAGGGAGGGAGGGACTTTACTGTATATCTCAGGCTGATACAGTCTCCCTCTTTATCTTCTTTGCTCAATGAACAAGTTTGACCTTTCTGAGCCAAAGGAAAAACATCATAGTTCTAGGAATCAAATGCGAACAAGCCCATGAAAAGTAAGACAGTGGGTCAGACTCAGTTCTTTTTTCCCTTCAGGCATCCTGGGCTGACATTTGTTCAGCATGTGCTCACTGGCTGAAAGGGGTAGAGAGTTATCCTGATTTCCCTGCCATTCCGCAGACCCCAGCATCAATTGCTCTACTGTTCCAGTGTGTCTCCTTCTATAGAAGGTTTCAAGGTGGTGGTGGGAAACAGCACACACAACACAAATCAACCTCTCATCCATTCTGCCAGCATGATTTTATTAGGGAAACAGTGGCTTCCTTTTTAAAACCTACCTGTGTTTTCCATCTGATCCTTTATGAAGAAGCCTCTGCCATGTCACTGCAAAACCAAGGTATGATCCGATCTATAAATTTGAAAATAGATCATTTATTGCTCTTTTTTGCCAATAGGATTATTTCTTCTTAAAGAACGCAAATGACAAATTTAAAAAATGCCCAAGGAACCACTTGCATGGGCTTAAGTAAAAGCACAACTTCAGAAGCTTAACTTAGTCTAAATGAAGCTATTTAAATAATGAGATTGTTTGGGCAATATGTTCAGTTACAGAATTATAGAAGCAGTGAAATGTATGCATAGAGTCCTATTCAGCTGAGCATAAATAATGTCACTTCTTTTGATCAGAATGCTGATTTAAATTTTAACACATACTTCCAAGCCGATGCTGGCACCCTGCTGCAACCCATACTGCCTTCCTTCAATGACACCCGCTTGAAGCCCTTCAGAATAACCTTCCTGATAGCCTTCTCCATGAAATCTGTAAAAAGGAAAAATGAAGTGTAAGTCTGAAGCCGCAAAAACATCTAACAGTCCAATCCTTCACGTGTTAATGTTAAAGAAGTGAATCTAATAATGCAATAGCTATGGCCATGCAGTAATCTTGACTGATTAGCAAACTGCATGATGTTAGTGGCACTACGCTATGTAAAAGTTCGCATAATGTAGGTCCCATCCATTTCAAGAGCCTACTCTAAGTAGGACTAACATGGAATAAAACACATTGGACAAAATCTTGTTCAGCATAAATACTAATCCAATTACACCATACTAGTGTAAGCCGTATCTAATGCAATGCTAATGCCATTTGCTGGGGTGGTGGGTTTTCCCAAAAGCCCATCATGCCAGCAAACACAACTGACACTGTGCTAAAGGTAGCTTTGTGCAGTTTAATTTATTGTAGCATTAGCGCCAAATAGGATACTGCCCAATAAGTTGATCATATTAATCTATCTCCTAATATAGGAGACCTTAATATAAAACACACCATAAAAGACTAAAATGTTTCCATGGTCCTTATACATGGGTGTGCATAACTTTCTTACAGACATAAGGGAGAAAGAGAATTGTTTGATGTGGGGCCAAACAAAGTAGGGAGTGGTTCGCATACTTTACTATACTGTGCACAAATGAATACATACTCTAAACAATATGTCACACCAGTGCTTATCACAGTAGATTGGCACGATAACCCTCGTGCTTGGTCAGGTTCAAGATCAAGGCATGCTTGATCTCTCATAGCTTACTAAATCCAGCAGGGAGGGGATGACTGGCAGGGTCAGGGAGGTGCTCAATTCCTTATTAGGAAGAGAGTGGTTCTAGCCTTCTTAAAAGAGGCAACAGTGCACCCTCTCCTGCCAGAAATACCATCTTTGCAACTAGAAGGTTTTCCAAGAATAGTTCAGTGGCTAACATCACCACCAGGGCCAAGCTGTTCAGGCATGTGATTGTTTATCAACTCAGGGCACTTCAGTGAAACTGAGGGCATCCATTTCCATTCAGGTTTTGGCCTGGTTTGGCATGTAAAATGCCTTGGGTGCTTTGTGGAATGACATCAGCAAGCAGAGGAGGAGCGAGTCAGAGCCTGGTGATTTTTCTGGAACTCTGTCTTTCATTTCCATTGGTCACACTCTCCTCTGGAAAGGCTGTCCAATTTGACCCCCGAGTCACCAGAAGCACCAAATTCATGTTGATCATCCAGACAGTAGCAAGGGCAGACTTGTAAACAGTGAGGTTGGAGAAAATCAAGCAGAGAAAGCACAGGCAGTGACAAGCTCATTATCAATACTGCCAATTTGCAAAATAGTTGCTGAAAACAAACACCCTGGAATCAGGTTAGCCAATTAACCCAGAGTGGCGATTATTAATAATCTTTATCCGAGATAACAACACTACCAATTTCTTCACACTTCCCAGAGCAAATACTTTAAGACAAAGGCAGCCTATAAGAAACTAGTTAAACGACGTTCAGGAGGGCTCGACGGTCATCCGTCCCAGCCTTTCCCAAGCTGCTGCCCCCCAAGTGTTCTGGCCCACCACTCCCACCAGCGCCTGCTTGCACGGCCAGGGGTCAGGGCTGCGGAGAGCGGCCATCCAGAACATCTGGGCGGAGCTCCCAGCTGGGAAGGCTCGTGCACGGCGCAGTCCCGTCGGCAGCAACGGACACACGCCTTCCCACGCCTCCGCCCGCGCAGAATTGGAGGCGGGGCGGCAGAGAGGCGTTCTCGGCCGCGGACACCAAAGGCCGGAGCAGAGCTGAGACTACGACCCGGCCATACCTGGAGTCTGCCATGACGATGGCCTCGAAGGCGTCCTGCTCGCACGCACCCGCTTCCATCGCTCCTGCCTCACTCCGTCCCGAGCCGTGGCTGCGTTTGCGGATCACATGGTCTCCTCACGCTCTGGGTGACGAACGACGGCAAGCCAGAGGCACTAACCTCGAGCGGCCTCGTCGCGCATGCTCCAGAGGGGGGTTTGACGTCCTTCATGACGTCAGAGCCGGACCACCGCTCTCTCTCCCTCTCCCTCGTCACGCCACCTGCTTTTCTTTCTTCCCCGGGTGAACCACTAGAGGGGGCGCGTCTCCCTTGCGAAACAAAAGCCGGCTGGGGAATGGTGCACGTGTGGCTGGGACTTGGGACTGTTTTTAATTAATTGCTTTTATTCTCTTATTGCTTGTAGTTTCTTACTGTTCACTGCTCAGCCGTCTCCTCTCAGAAGTTTCCAGACTCTAGACAGGCATACACATGCGCAAAAATTAATCCCCCTGTTTGATTTCGGCCAGCCTGTTTTTCAGGAGCTTCGTGATATGTCGCATTCAGTTTAGCGCCTTTTCTCCTTAACTCCTCCTGAGAAGAAAGATCAGAACTTGTGAATACATTTGCACAAATTCACGTTTCTCTAAATGCTGTCCTCCTCCCTCCATATTTCCTATCCTAATCTCCCCACTCTTACTTCCATTGCAACGAAATTCGAATAAAAATAAGTCCATACAGCTCTACGTCGCTCTTTTACTTTCTTTTTCAACTGGTTCCCTGGACAGCTAGATTTGCAAGGAAACACGTTGCAACAAAAGCATAACACTTGAGTATAAAACTTGCCAGCAGAATTAGTACAAACATCAAATGGGGTAAAATTTAATGAACAGAGGATAAAAAGTCTATTAACCACAAGCTAAAAGAACAGGAAAAAGCTCCAGGGCAGATATAATTCCAGTTCTGAAATGCACAACAACTGATAGACCCAAAAAGCCTGGCATTTTTTTTTAAATGTGCGTATGGTGCAGAGGAAAGAAAAGAAAATGGATAGTATGAGAGAAGCTGGAGATGGAGTCTGTGTGTGTGTGTGGGGGGGTGCTATTTCAAAGACAGGGCACCAAAACCAAAAAGGCCCTTTCTGCTGTCACTGTCTGTCTTATGTCCAATGGATGATGGAGAAACTTGACAAAGAGTCTCAGAACATTATATTTTATTTTTGTTTCTGGAACTTGACAAATTGCAGTGATTAAGCTAAAAATAATAATGTTCTTGCATATTTCTGTGTGAGAGCAAGGGAGAAAGGATTCAGGTACCTGCTTCTGGGCTGAGGTCAGGACTAACTTTGGTCTCCTGGATCATTCCCCACTTGCCCAGAGGTCTTTCTTCCCAAGCAACATTTCACCTCTGGGCAGTGGAGGCTGGTGGTTCCAATGCCAGTGGTGCAAGTGTAGTCATTCCAGATTGTACTTTGAAACATTAATGAACTGTCCGTAGTACTGAAGCTAGTTTGGGAATGGGGTTCACCACCAGGGATAGATCTTGTATAGTTCAGAGTGACATGGGAGCCACCAGCCTCTGGTGCCAACAGTTTGGAGATGTCAGGTTTGCATGTTAGAGAAACAAAGGCCTTCAGTCTTTATACTCAGATCATACATGGCAATCCAGGAAAGAGTCAGTCAGACTTCTTAAAACACATGTATTCTGTTTAGTATTTGTGCAAACACATTTCCTGTAGCACTTTGGTTCCAACAGTTCCCAGTGTTCATGTACTTAGTTTCAATTTCAAAAATAGTGGAACAGAATGAGAAGGCAAACAAGGGTATTTTGAAATGGAGATATGAATCTCATTTCTTCTTTCTCCTGTTCTGGCATAGACTAGCTTGCAGAGGGGTAGTGAAAGAATATAATTTTCATAATAATGGGCATAATTTCATGGATGTTTAGACAGAAAAAAAATTGCCCAGGATGCCCCAGCCAACATGGCTGAAGTATGTGTTTGCATGGTAGTCACCATGATCTGATTGGTTCGAGTGATTGTTTTTCCTACAGCAACCTACAACTGTGAACGTTGGACAATGAAAAAAGCTAGACAAGAGGAAAATTGACTCATTGGAGCTGTGATGTTGGCAGAGGCTCCTGCACATTTCATGGACAGCAGGGCTGACAAGCAAGCAGGTGCTAGAGCATATTAAACCAGACGCATCCCTGGTTGGCAAAATAACAAAACTGAGACTCACATATTTTGGCCACGGCACACAATCAAGCTCATTAAAAAAAGATATAATACTTGGAATGCTCAGCGGCCAGACAAAACCAGGTCGCCAAAGAGCGAGGTGGTTGGACTCCATCAAAGAGGATGCAGGCCAGAGCATAGTTCAGCTGAAAGAGGTGGCACGGGATCAGAAAGTGTGGCGAAATTTGGCCCATAGGATCACTTATAAGTCAGACATGACTGAACTGCTGAACATGAACAACATACCATGAACTATTAATATAAAAAATCAGAGGAAAGCTCAAAAGATTACTAACAGGAGTACAGTGCCAAAATACAACATTCCTGGGGAATTTAAAGTCCACATAAAGAACAGATTTGTCTTACTGAACTTAACTTGACCATGAGTCAGAAGAACTGTGAACTGAAAGCAGTGACATATGTTTTGTTACATTTCCATACAAGCACTATGTATGGGTGTGAAAGCTGGCTAGAAGAAAATGGGTGTTTAAAACATCTGCGGGGGGCAGGGGGAGCTTTGTGAATACCCTGGACTGACAGACAGATGAAGTGAATCCTAGGTCAAATCAAGCCAGAACTTTCTGAAAAAATGATGAAACCGAGGCTGCAGTACTTTGGACACATCACGAGAAGACAAGAATCACTGGAGAAAACCATCTTGCCAGGTAGAAGAGGAAAAAGATAAACTATGAGATAGAACAATTCCAGAAAGGAAGCTGCAGCCTGGAGTTTACAGGAACTGATTGGGACTGTAAAAAATATAATTTAGAGGGCATTCCTTCATACGGCTGCCATACATCTTAGATGACTTGACAGCATGAAACAATAGATAGATAGAAGAACTCTGCATATAATATAACCTGACCTCTTTTGGTGACAGGGCACTCATGTCCTCCAAAGCAGACTTTCATCTATGGACTTTTTCATATGGGAGGAAGCAATCTTTTAGATATCCTGGCTGCAAACCATTTAAGGCCTCAGGCTGCAGTCCTCTCCTTCCTTTAGCAACTGAGGTAGAAACAAATATTTGTGCTACTACAGCTTAAGTGTCATTCTCCTGAACATAAATGAACCTCATTCACAGCTACATTTTTAAATATATAATGTAGTGATACAAACAAAGATTATACTTTATTTTCTGAGAAAAGCAAGACAGTTTAAAAAAATCAGACTTTCTGTTCATGGCAATGCACTCTTTGATGAAAAAAAGATTACCTTCACTTAGATTTGGCTCCTCCAACCTGATTTGGTCAACTGAGAGCCAGTGTGGAGTAGTGGTTAAGAGCATAGGACTGGGACTCAGACGATCTGGGTTCTAGTCCCCGCTCGGCCATGGAGCCCACTGGGTGACTTTGGGCCAGTCACAGCCTCTCAGCCCAGCCTACCTCACAGGGTTGTTGTTGTGGGGATAAGATGGAGGAGGAGAATGATGTAAGCTGCCTTGAGCCCTTTGTAGGAAAAAGGCAAGCTATAAATTGAAAAATAAACAAACTTCCATAACCGGCTCATTAGCTGTTCTGGTGCTGATGGGAATTGTAGTACAAAACATCTGGAGGGCATCACATTGGGGAAGGTCAGGGACAGACAAGTCCATCTTGTCCATTATCTTGTATTTTTTATTGGGCACATCAAGATGATCTGGGACATCATCTGCAAGTCTGTATCTGCATTGTATGAGGACAGAGGACAGGAAGAACCTTCTCTTTGGCTAAGGAACTTAAGACCAGGAAGAGCTTTCCTCCTTTACTGAATTGCACAAGTGACCCAATCCATTGTGGATGGCTTTCTTTGAAGTGGGCAGCTCCTTGCTGTGACCATGAGGCACACCTGGTATCACACCTTCATCTGCCATCATGTTAATTGACTGCTGCATTTCTTCACACAACCCTGCCAGGGAAGGAAGTCACAATGAAGCCAGTGGGAATCTGTGCTTGAGCTGCTGTAAGGAATACTACAGGAACATACAGATTTTATTCAACCTCCTCAAATTAGGAAAGAAAATCATTCTATGTCTTTTTTTTTTTTTTTTTTGCAAAGAAGCACATATTAAAGGGTCCAGGGATAGCTTTGAAACTCTGCACATATTAAGAAGAGAAATTTGAGAAACTGGGTACGGGGAGGCAAAGTGTGATTGCAGTCATCAGGGGGTATGGAGGTATAGTTTCAGCACTCAGCACACGTATTTATCCACTTTGCAAAAAGCAAAATAAATAAGTGTATACATATTTAATTAATTTGTTTCATGAATACAAGTCACACACCACCACACTTTGTCAAATGCAAAATGTCTGGGTATCATATGATATCATTCAAAGAGAGGTAAAAAATACAGATCCAGGGAAGAGGCAGACATATTCTTATACTTTACTTTTATTAAAAATGTTACACACTAAACCTACAGATTTCACACAATTTTGTAATGTTTCAATTTTCCTGACCATTATCAAGTGTACAAAATTTTGCTACATTTGTCCAGTCTTCTAAAAAACAAAATATTTGAGTACATAAATAGAAATTTCAGTATAAATACAGTAACAAAATAAACAGAGGTGTGTGTTTAATAAATTAATTATAAATATTGTATTGATAATGAAGTGCTAGGTCAAGAAACTAATGTTTTACTTTTGCTTTCTGTTCAGAGCCATACCATTATCTATACAGGAAGCTTTGAAAAAGAATGATCTCCAAATCTTTTTTCTTTCCTTTGTTTTTCACAAACTAGTGGAAAATATATATTTATTACTTGAAATTCTAGCACTAACCTTTATTCAAAATTTCCATGACATATTATTCACATTAATATATCATCCTAGTACATTAAAGTCAGTAAGGGCACAATCCTATGTGTGTTTAGTAAGAAAAAAAAGTTCTACCACTTCCAGCCATGACCTAGGCAGCCATGCTTTTTTCTATCTAAACATGCATAAGATCACAGTAAGAATTTAAAAAAAAACTGGTCTATATATCCAAAGCATCTCTCACAGTTAAAAGGAAGAATTTTTCCATTAGATTAGTCCCCTACTAATTTTCCCTTCACTGACCAAAATAGCTGGAATTTGGCTCCAAAGTCCAGCTAAATGATCAGCATGCATCTTTCACAATGATTTAAAGGGGAAAAATACCTGGTCTACAGATACACAATATAAAATAAGGAAGATGGCAGGCTTTCTTAAACCAATTAATTTTGCTAAAATTAATTTTGTGTAAGTTCAGAGTTGCATAAAATTCTTCATCATGCAAACATCTAGTTATTGTTCTAGCGGGAGAGCAACATTGGTTAGCTATTCATCTGCTGTAGTTACTCTAGACAGAAGGCAGCCTGATTTGTTCTTGCAAGTTTAGCACATCAGATATTTGCAGGTGTTTTGCCTGATGAATGCTGTGTACCTTGAAAGTTAGTAGCTTCCTTTAGAAATGGACACTGGGTTTATCCAATGTTGTTCTGACCCAAGTCCCATACATTTCAATGGGCCTATTCAAAGTTGGACTAACATTGGATACAACCCACTAGCTTGCTAAAAATAACAGCTTGCATAAAGAATTTCTCCCTTTCACTGGGAGAAAAGGAGAAATTAATTCCTGTCTGTATTGGACAACCTCAGGAATATTACATTGTTTTCCAACTGTGCAATTCTACTCAAAAGCAAGTTCCACTTAGGTCAGTGGGGCTTCATCCCATTAGTGGATACAGATTGCAGTTTATTCTTTCTAAAATCAGCAGCAGAGGTTTGAGGAGAGAATTAAATCTATAATATGTAAAAACTGCAATCAAATACCCACTTACTTGACAGTAAATCCTATTGACCAGAGGGGTATACTTCTGAGTATTTGTACATAGGACATCACTGTAAGACATTTTATAACTGATTAGTAGATTTTCTGGTGGGTTTTTTAGATGCTCCTGTTTTATTTCTAACCTTGAAGAGAAATTATTGAATGAACAGCATTTTGTGGCAAAGAAGTAATGAAGCAGTAAAATCAATGTCCATGAGCTTATCCTCCAAGTCAATGCATGCTCTGCATTTAGTCATTCCTGTAGCTTTTAGAAGGAATCTAACTTGGGTTTGTGTGTTTCTTTCTTGTAATTAGTATTGGTATTTGTGTAACAGGGAAGTACAATATCTAAACAAGTCTCCATGTCTTCAATATCACTGGCAAAAATCCTAGTCTAGCCTACTGGCAATGTTTTTCCTGTGGAGTATAGAAACCCCTGCTTATTTCCCAAAGCTAGGACTTTGCACCGATACTTCTGAAGTAATACCAAAGGGATCCATACTGTCAGTTTCCAGGGGTGAACTGAAAATATCAGATGATGCAACAGGGTGTCTGATGTCGCCACGTTCTTCAAAATCTGTAGGTTCCAGTGGCACAGTGTTGATCATAGGCAAGAAATGAGACAATGGAAGGAAGTCTTTCCCTTTGAATTGTTGTCTTTGTCTGGCACTGCTTAAGGACACCAAGATTCCATACTTCTTTGACTTGTAGATATTGTAGCCATCAGGACGCATCTCCTCTTCGAAAGAACAGTCCTCCATAGAATACCTAAGCTGGACATACAGAAGTATTCTTATGTATATGTTTGGTATTATTTTGTCTCTTAACTGGCATAGGTTGCAATCAGGGCTAAAAACCTCAGATATGGAGAGCGAATCTGCCTTCCCAGTCTAGATTCCCCAGAAAGCAGTTCCCCCTTCCCCTGGCCCACTGTCTTTCCCCCAACCATAAATCATTTGGTGGTTTCTTGGCTTTCATGCAGTTTTTTTCCTTCTTTCCAAAACGCTGAAATGTTTCTCCTAAGGCTTAGTTCCTAGCACTAAAAACTGTAAGCTAAAGAATGGGATTTAGCTTAAAGTTTTTAAAATTAGCTGGGATTTCTGTGTGTGTGTGGGGGGGGAGGCTCTTTGCATGCGGCCCTGCTGACCCCTGAAATGCACCCTATGGACTTTTGGAAATGGAATTTGCCCAAGTAGAAAGAGATCTGCACCACTGGCTTATATCGGAACCATCCATTCAGTTGCAAGATTAATCTTGTATCCATGGGTGAGTTAAATCAGAACTCTTTTCCCAGACAGCTGAATTGTTCAGGAAACATTCATAACTCAAGTATGGACAGTAGACATGGTAGCTGGTAAGTTATTAAGGAATGTAATTCAGCTATGGCTTATTTATGCAGCAGGATTCAGTCTGATCCCTTGATTCCACTTGCTTGAAAAGCTAAGTCTATTTTTAAATTCTGATTACCAATCACAACCCACAGTTTCTGGCTGGGAAGCCTGGATTTCCTTAGGTACACAAAATACAGTGGAACCCTCACAGTTCCATGTGAGTCTGAGCCAAAGGCTACTCACGTTCATGAAGATACCGAAGACTAACATCTGCTAAGGATGAACAACAGAAAAAAGTTCATGGACAAGGGGTCAGTACATGGTAAAAGAGCTTGATTCTGGATGTGGGTGCTATGTGGGTTTCTAATTCAAAGACCCAGTTGGATAAGATAGGCAGAGTCAGTTTAACTCAGACATGTCCTCTCAGGTTCTCTGTTCAGCAACATCACGGCACCATAGGTGATATGGGGTCTGTGTTCTAGGGCAAAGCAGCAGCAGAGAAGAAAGCTAGAGCACAGACGGAGAACAAATCAAGACAAGTTCTCCTGGACTTGGACTAAAGCTCACTTGATAACATACTGCTTGGGATGGTGAAGACGGTAAAGCAAAGTTTCTTCACCATGCCTTTACATCTGCACAGGCCCATCTAGCGAAGATGTTCCAACTGATAAGTGACCAACCACACAATCAGTCCTCCAGAATGATTTACGACAGACTTCCCCAACCTGGTGCCCTCCACATGCATTAGACTACAGGTCCCAACATTGCCAACTGACAAATCCATGCTGACTGGGGCTGGTGGCCTCTACAGTCCAACACATGCAGAGAACACCAAGATGAGAAGGCTGATCCAAGAGAACCCTCAGCATTTAAAATGATCGATATTTTAAAATACACTTAATATATTTGCTGGAATTTTTAAGTTTTTTAAAATTTCTCAGTAGACAAGAACCTCAGTTCAATATGCTAATTCTATTGAAAAATTCCCATTGATTTTTACAAAAATAATGGGGGTTTTTTTGCACATTCTTTTTCTATTTTGTAACAGAATATATGTATTTGACCTGTAATGTTTCACAGGGTGTCATATTTTACATATTTTTGAGTGCAGAAGCAAAAGGTATGCTTGCTAATTCAGAAAAGTGTTGCACACCAAAAATTGGAAGATGCCCTTCCTGACAATGTTGTTTTTCTTTCAAAATCTGGTGTTATTCTGGTTCAGTGATTAGAGGTCACTAAACTCCTGGTCAGTAAAGTATTGCTGATTGCATATAGGAATTCAATGATAAGAAAAATTGTGTTCTTGTGTGAACTTTTCCCTATCAAGCACCTAAACTATTCTTTACCCCTATGCTTTTAGGACATTACTGACACTGTTATAGAACAAAATTCCCTCAGTGAGACTAACCTGATTTAAATAGCATAGTACTACAGACTGGGCTATCACACATATGGAAACATGGTTTGCTTTGGTCCTGGAACAGCAAAATGTCTCAAAATGGAAAGTTGCTTATTCTCTGCATACATTTTGAGACTGAAAAAAATCTGATACTCCTTGGAATGCTCTAGCTACGGTAGGATGTTTTCTGTCTAAACAAGTGTAGGATTATATCTGTAAAGTGTGATCTTATTCATGCATGTTGTAGGTTCTTTTTCTCTCAACATGCATAGGATTGCACTTTGTACAAGAAATGTAACTTTCCAGGTAAATATTTATGGAAACAACGTATTAGACACAGTTCTATTGGCACCATTAAGTTTTACACAGGCTTTTGTGCCCCAACTCAATTCTGGGAATCATTCTCACCAAGCTCTTATCTGTCTAAAAACATATTCAGACAGAAAAAAGTCCTACAGCTTTCAGTGCTCACCCAGTCAGCCATGTTGTAGACTTTTTTCTTCTGTCTCAAGATGCTTAGGATTATGCCCTTAGTTGCCCTCTGCAATTGAGCTAAATAAATATTACAGTTCAGAACTTAATTGATGATATTTAGTGGTAACAATTTCTTTGTCCCAGCTAACAGAGCAATCTGTAATGCAATTCTGTACACCACACAATGCGTCTAAAGGGGACCAGATTGGTCTAAATACTGCGAGCAACCTCACTGTTGATGCAACCCCTGAGTGAATGAAAATGCCCTGTGCAGCTCTGGAAAGTGCTCTTTAGGCAGAGCACCCATAGAATCTACTGTGTAGACATTACAAACATCCAACTTAAAGTTCCCCAAAGGTGCGCATAGTTAAGCAATAAGTAGGAGGCAGCAGCTTCCTTTTGCACTGTCCCTTACTTAGATTTATGCATAAAGGTACCTGTTCCTCCCTGGACTCCCTCTTCAAGTGAGCAGAATACCTGATCTGAGGAGTAAGATTACATGCCAATATGGCTTCCTGCAATATACACTGGTTGTATTTCAGTCCAGCTGAAGTTAACAGGAGAAGTTTAAGACCATCCTAAGAAATAAAAAGCTGACTCCTATGCAAGTTTTGACAGAAAAAAGCCCTTTTTCTGCCTAGTCCTGTATAGGGTTGCACCTAAGGATTGTTTAATTTGGATTAATTTTAATCTTTCATTTCACATATACTGAAATATATCTTGTCACATATTTCCAACAGAAGGTCAGTTCAATGAATTGAACCTTCATTTATATTGAAGGTTGAAATTTCTTAAGGGCACAATTCTATGCAGATATGGACAAGAAAATCAATTCCCACAATGCCTCAGATTATCATATTGACTAGGACATGCTAGGAGTTGTAGGCCTTTTTTGTCTGTCTAAACATGCATAGGATTTTGCCTGAAGGGTGTATAACTCATGTTCATTCATTTCAATTCTAAGGACAGTCATCCCTTAGTGGGAGGCATATGCTTCAGGTTTATGATAAAAATTGGATTTTAATTCTGAAAAACTGGGACCAAAGCGAAGAGACATGAAGCCATAATGTTCCTGATGTACAGACTCCTTCTTGAACATGACTGCATGCCGTGCTGGCTGCACTGTTGTATTTGGACATGGAGCATCCAGCCTCAAATCCCTGCTTAGTCAGCAAGCTTTACTGGCAGGCCTTGAGAACACTATTATCTCTCAGCTTCCTCTACCTCAAGGGTTGCTGTGAGGATAGCCTGAGATAAGGCTCAACTCTTCAGCCTGGAGCCCTTTGAAACAGGTCAGAAAAGGAATCCAAACAAGTAGACAGTCTTGGTAGTCAAAATTCTGCTTATGTCTTTATTTGCTTCATTAAAAACAAAAATAAAAGCCCCACACCAGTGTCTACTAACGAAGATCAAACCCATCCATTACTCACTCTTTTTGTTCAGCCTAAAGTTATTTTATTACATCACTGTCTTATTCTCGTAAATAATTAGCAAACCAGTGTGGACTATTCCCTTTTTCCTGAACATTGCTATCAGTGTGCCTGGTGTCCCCAAAATGACTTCAGTCTTGGATATTTTTTTAAGAAGAAAAAATCTGCTGAACAAAATCAGCTCACAGCAATGGAAATGCTTATTGGCATTAAAAAAGATCAAGAGAAAAATGAAAGATTTATTGAAAAGCAGTCTGTTTTTCTTAATTTTAGCATACAAATGTACAGGACAAAGTGTAATCCAGTGATCTGTTAAGAACATTATAAAGAGGAAAAGGTTATGGCAATTATTGGCTGGATAGAATATTATTGGAAATGACTGCACAATGAAAATATGTATTAAAAAGTAAAAAAAGAATGATATATTAGCTCATGCCACTGTAAAAACCCCATTGCTAAATTATGTAATCTAATTTATTTTTTAGATTATTCTTCCAAGCACGTTTAGGATTTCAGTGTGATGCATTTAGACTGCACTGGTGTATGCAAATAGCACACACTTGTGAAGCTGCTGTTGTTTGCTCTGGCTTGGGAGCACCGCATAAAAAACGCCTCAAGCTGTTGGGGGAACTCATGCAGAACCCTTTCCTGGGAGAGCGCAGAGAAGGTGGGGGGCAGGCAGCCCCTCAGTTGTAACTTACCAGCCCTCGCAGCCTGCCTTCCTCTTCCATGCACAGGTACCGAGAGCTTTGCACGCCCTTGATCGCCACCGTGCGAAGGGACACGGCTCTGATCTCCAGCAAACCTGCGCAGCAGGAAAAAAAGCAGCGTGAACGGATCTTCCGCGCGAACGGGAGGAGGCGGCGGCGGCGGCGGCAAAAGGTGGCCCCTTGCAAAACCCGCGCGCGCGCACCGCACTTTCCCAAAATGGCCACATGAAATTTCCCCTTAGGGATGTCCTGTACATAAACAGCCGTACACGAGTGTGCCCCAAAGTAACAGATATAAGCTCAGGGCAGCAGCGGGGTAATGCAATGGTCTCACGGAGGCTGCTTCAAGGAGCCACCTGTGTGGCTCCAGGTGTGAGACGCACAACTAACACCTCCCCCCCACACACACACTTCACGTGTCGTTCCGCGCTTTAAAACCGCTTCTACATTCCTGATCCGTAAACAAAACAAAACAAAACTGTTTGCAGTGCTGTTTGCTATCCTTTTCGAGCGCGGTTATGCATTTTGAGCGCGCTTACATGATAGCCCGTCGCGTCTGCAGGAATGAAATGGATTTGACTTCCACTGGATTTTGCATCACCTGCCGCTCTATGGGTGGTCATGGGGGGAGGGGAGGGCTGGGCTGCGAGGCCAACCCTGGACTTTGCTCCGACGGTCCGGCCGCGCTGCACCGCTCCGTAAGCTCAGGGGTCGGAAACCAAACCGGAGCGGGGATGTTCGCGGGCGCGTGGCTCCTGTTCCGCCGTAGAGGCGCCGGTACTCACTGTGCAGGCTCTGGGCGCTGGTGCCGTCCACTCGGCCGTCGCTGTGGATCCTCAGGAAGTAACTAAAGAGACCGTGCCGGCTGGTGGTGTAGAGGTGCCGCAGCCGGATCGGTTCCCCCCAGCCGTAGTTGACATGCGGCCCGGCGTCGGTGAGAGCCAAGGAGGGGGCGGCCAACGCAAAGCAGAGGCCCATGAGGGCCAGGGGCCCGCGGGCTTGGCACGACCTCGGCCACATCCTCGTCGGGGAGGGAGACGGTCTCCGAAAGAGGGCTCCCCTCCGAAAGGGGCGCGCAGGCGCAGGGCGCGAGGGTCCCCACGGGTGTGTGCGCGGGGGGAGAGGGAGAGGGAGAGGGAGCGGGAGAGCGAGCGGGAAAGAGGCGATGGGCTGGCTCGTGGTAGGAGCCAATTGCCTGAGGAGGGCTTGCAGGGAAGGCAGAGCCCATCGCCCCCCTTTTATAGGTCTCGGTTATCAGCTCGATCGATAAGACGAATGCCAATTCCGATACAGACACTGCTCTGCGGCAAGGCTCTGGGACCAGCACCCGCCCCACGGCGTGGAGCAGGATGACATCATTCCCCGCGGGGCTCCCCTCCGGGCCCGATTCTCCTCCACTCCGCTGCTTTCCTTTGAGGAGCTGCAAGACCAGCCCCGGTCTCCGGCGCCCCCGCAAGCGCGCCCCGCCCGAGCAAGCCGCGCCGCGCGTTTTCCCCGCGACTTGCTTCGGGCCACCTTGGGTTACCGGACGGCCAGAAGAAAAGGAGCCTCGCACGGTCTCTCCCCCATCCCCGCCGCGTTGCCGTCCCGATGAGAAACGAAGAGGAGCAGCCCCGCTTGGCTCCGTCTGGAAAGCGGTCGAGAAGCGAGGCAACCCTGTGCAGAGAGCCCAGCCGGCGGAACTTGCAATTCTTTGAGGGGTGGCGAGGAGGAACCAAACTCCCCGTCGTTCTTCGCTTTTTCAAAAGGGCCTTCCACACCCTCACAACCCCTCAAATAAAAGCAGTTCCACATTTCCTGGTGGCACGGTTTTGCTCAATTTTGACAGCGGTTCTACATCTCCGCCTGCGTTAGGCAGAACGGAGTTTCCTTTTTGCACGGACATCTTTAGAAATTGCCTGAGCAAGTCCAGTTATTCATTATATTCCACTCAGTTTGAAGAACGAACGAAGAGCTGAAGCGAGTCTAAGTTTGATTGACTAGTATTGATCCAGAAAAGCAGAACCAGACACACATCCATACATGCATATCCCTATTGCCTTTGTTCCACAAGGTATCCAAGCACGTTTGCTGATGCAATATCTCCCAGAATCCACAGGGGAAAAGCCAGGGGTTACACCTACAGCCCCGCCAGAAAGAAAAGTTTATGTGTCTTTTCATGGTCAGTCAGATTGAAGGAAATAGCCAACAGTAGTAATTTTACAGACATTTAAGTTTAAATGTATGCAGCTCTATATACTTAAACGATTGTGCAGGAATGCATGCAAAAATGCACGCATGTATAGATGCGTGCACACAGAGGGAGTTTTATGGTACAAGCGTGCACACTGATGCGCAATGTGGAAGTCCTAAAACTGTTAGGTAAAAGTTACATACTGAACCTCTGGGTGGCACTCCAAGGCAAAGAGCCATCTTCTGACTTAGCCTTCTTCTGTTAAATTAGCACTTTGGCTCATTCCCCCTTGCCCAAGTTAGGGCTCAGCAAGGAAGAGAAAGTCCTGGTTAGTTTTCTTTCCTAGTTTGTACCAGATTGCCAGCCAGGAGGGGTATCACAACCTTTTTGTCACTAGCACTAGCATTCTATCAATGGGACTTACTTGCAGGTAAATACACTGCAAAGACTGTTGCCTAAGGCAACTGTTTGTATACTTTTCTTATGAAAAGCTGCATTTCAATAATTTCACAGCATGGCTTCACATCCTAATGTGAAAGAATATTCTTAACATTTGCCCTTTTAAAAAGTTTGAAAATTATCAATCAGTTTTTAAAGCTGTAATCCTATCCATGCTTGCTTACAGTAAATTCCATTGAATTTAGTGGGATTTATTTCTGAGATAGTCTGGGGGCTGATGCCACATTTTCCTAGCTATGTCTGTGTCCAGAAGAGGGTATCCACCTGGTCATGCATCCCATATCAAGTATAGTGTGAATGTGCGTCATTATTAGTACTGATTGATAAATTTAGATACTTGTAGCAAGATAAAATGTTGCCCTTCCTAGCTGATTGTGTAAATACTTTCCCTATGGAAATTATTAAGTTCTGTGGAAAATTATGTGTACCTTCTCCTCAAAATGAATAAAATGTTTAGAGAAATGTTAAAACTACAAGGAGGTCCCCTGGCTTACACAGCATAGGTTTAAAATAAGAAGCTTTTCTGGGAATGAAGGAAATAATTTATTTTGCATCAATACAGAAAATTATATTAGGAATCCATCCAAATAGCATTGGATTGGAATCCCACAAAAAATCATTTGGCTCACCTAGTTCTTTGTTTGACCACTAGAGAGAGCTTTAAACCTTAAGTCTTCTTTCACAGGTTCAGACTAGTCACAGATGGTAGAGAAACTGCACTGTTAGTTCATAAGGTTCTATGTTAGCGTATTATGGTTACCTTTAACCATAGTAGCAAAGCTTCAAATGCACCTGGTTTCCTAGAAGCTTTGGGTGCTCTCGATGTTGCTGCAGGGTTTTAGGTGAGGCAAATCCCATTAGGCTAGTTACAAGAGAGGACCTACTTAGGATCTGTGACTTCAAGCAAGTGTTGTTCTCACAAAAGTTTCCATTAATGCAAATAATTAGCTAGATGGACCATTGGTATGACTTGGGACAAAGCATCTTTCTGGGTTAAGTGCACATTGCCATACATTTATCTGGATTAAATCTCATCAATTAGGTCTATTGGGTAGGGGCAACCAAGTTGCCTAAATACAGCTTATGTATAAATTGCTTGCTTCTCAGTTACCTTATAATTCCTTTTCTGAACCATTGTCACTTGATGTTCCAGAAGGTTGCATCTACAGAACCTCTTTCAGTGCCTGCCCATCTTTTGATCATATTGTTAAGATGTGTTTGGGCTTTCGTATCTAGTATGAGGAGAGATACCTGTTTTAAGGATTGTTCACTAAGGTAATATTTGGCTGAAGAAAGGTTCTGAGGAACTGCAAAGTTTCCATGGCAAACCAAGCAGCTAACAAATAACTTGCACTGAACAGAGAAGAAATGACCTTGATAAAGAAGCAGCCATGTTAGAGATACTCAGATAAGGTCTGTTGGAGGCACAATACAAATGAACAGTAGTCTGTCCAGTGGTCACAACTCTCTTTGTGGATGGTCCTGCATCCCTGAACAATAAATTTGATGTATCCAGCACATCAATCTGCAGAGTTCAGAACTCCACAATCTTTTTCAACACCGAGCTGACAGAATTCAACAAATGTGTTTATTCCAAGAAGGAATAAATTGTAGAAAGGAATTGTAGAAAGGAAACCAAAAACATTAAAATTCACAGGAGGGTCTTCATGGAATGTTACTCTAAAGACCAAAAAAAACATTAAGAGCCTTGCTACACAAGATACTTATTGTGTATGTCACTAAGGGTAGTTTGTGGGTGCTTCACATAATGGCACTATCCACCAGGACCTCTGCTTATTTCTACAACCAGTTTGGGGTAGGGGAGTCAATTCTGAGCAAAGTCTAGTATAGTGGCAATGGTGGAATGAAACCTTCATGTACAATTCTGCTATGCCAAAGCGTCACCTGTAGCTTGTACAAAGTAATATATGGAACAGCAGAGAAGAAAAAACTCCCGAGGCGGTGCAGAGTGGGGGAGCAGAATACATAGAAGATCAGATCTTTATCACATAAAGAACCTAGAAGCAGAAGCCTTGGTAAAGTGATGGATTGAAAGCATCAGATAGAAAGGACTAAATGTTTATCTATCAGCTATCTTACCATTTCTTCCAACTCCACTCTAACTAGGTATAGCAGATCTGACCCAGATATTCATTCCCGCTCCCCTTCATACAAGGATTGCAACCTAGGTAAGGAGCTCTCTGCCTGTTCTAAAGTTAAAAAAGAGGAGGAGAGCAAAGTTGATAGACACACATGTAAAGCAATGCCTATTTTGATGTAACATTATTAGAATAGGAATCCTTCATTCCATATTGGTTTGGGGGTTTTTTGGCGGGGAGAGTGAACATTTGGTATTACAACAACATGGCTTTTGGAATTCTTCATTTAATAAGTCTGCTTTGAGTGATGACCATTGGAGTGCTGACCATCCTCAGCTCAATCAGCATTTTCATGTCTTTTTCCCCTCAAAGAATTATCTTCTGGTAATGTTGGTTCCTGTGCACTGATGTACACACCTCAACATATTTGTTGAATACTTTGCTTATACATTTTCACAGTGATTTATGGGAGTTTCAATGTGAGTTTCATTGAGAGTAAAGGACATTAGAGAAAGAATTCCTGCATGTGTTGCTACAATGCAGCTGGCTTTGTCATTCAGACAGTTTCACAACAATCAACAAAAGTTTCAGCAAAAGTTTTTATCAGGAGTATGAAGCTAACATTACAGAACATTTCTGCATGCAACAAAAAAAATCCCTGATCATCCTGAATGCTGACTGCCAATGTGCAGAATTTTATTTTCCAAGTTAGTTAAGAAAGTCTTGAAAAATAATACGTTCAGGCATTACAAGCTTTACAAGTTCAAGCTCCAAACCAGGCACTTATAAAGGTTGGAAACAGCATTTCATGGTGTCCTTAATATATTTTGGTCTCCTCCTTATCAGCTTCTGGAAGAAGAGGGAGAGTTTTTAATCTTTGTTTTCTGTTCTTGTCACAGACTAAACTGACAGTTTGTGCCACTGATCAACCTTGATTCCTAATGCATTCTGCAAAGATCCAATGTGGGTTTATTAAAAACAAACAAACATACAAACCCTGTTCTAAAAATCTAAGAATTCTAAAATTAAGAGTCCATCTGAAGTAGGAACATGTCTTTTAAAAATCAATACAATTCAAAACTTAATTTAAAGCACAGAAGATGAAAAGCCACTGACAGATCAGTACACTTCTGATAATGAATAAATTCCTAAGAGAACTCCAATTCTTAAGCATGGTCAGAAGCTGCACAAATTAAATAGAAGGGCAGCAACTTCCTTCTGCTCATCAGATTTGGTAGTCATTGGGATGATTTCCCTTTACTTTCAGGTGTGTTTAAAGAGAGTGTTCC